GCCTATTTTGCTGTCCACACGGACTGTTGGCTTGCTGCTCAAACCTTTAGTCAGTGCTGCTCAGACTACAAACAGAAACTAGAACACTCCAAAATCTTGTCCCGTTGCCTTCAGATTCTGCGTACATATGCAGATATCTGTTTGAAGAGATTAGAATAATCATGGCTATCAAATCAAGCTAAGATGATCAGTTCCTGTCAACAGAAGCTGGATTCAAATTTATTAAAGTGCGTCATTTCCTTATGTAGAACTCTATATCATCAGTAGTATCATTTCCATGTGTTGCCATGGAAGTATCCTCGTGTCTAGACATTGAAGCTTGCTCTCGTGTTTTGGTTAAAATGTTTAAATGTATAAAATGTAACGTGGAAGGAGAGCTGCTGCTGGTGGCCGTTGGATTGTGATGAAGGTGCCATAAACTCTGGATGCTGTTGCAGCTCAACACACCGTGAATTATTCATTCAATAACCTCTGTTGTATTATTAGGGATTATTAGATTAAATATTGATGATAATGTCTTTGTAATGTAGTGCGATGGTTCTCCTCTGTCTCTGCAGAAGAGGTTTCAACCCTCTTATTACAAAATGGGCTCTCAGTCGCTGGAACAAAGAGAACACCTACTCTTGCAAACTGACTGACCGAACAAAGCAGGATCAAACGATAGTTCTTGCTGAAGGATAGTTGCTATGGGTCCTTGACTGATAGAATAATGATAGTTTTGATTGAAAAATGCATAATTTTCTTGAAAATAAATGTTTTTGTCATATAAATAATTCAAAAGTGTTGAATTTAATGTTTTAAATGTTAATGTTTAAATGTTAAATGTTTTTTTTTTTTTTTTTATGAACATTTCCAAACAGTTGATAAATGGGTTTTGGGCCTTTTAAGTAGTTTTTTGTTTTCTGTTGACTTTGAGATTCTCATCCTGGCAGATACTCTAATTGTGTGGTGTGTTCTTTGTTGTTCTTTCAGCGCTCATAATAAGTGTCCGAGCTCATTGAAACTATTGGAAACTGCTGGGTACCGTGCCAGCTGTGGCTCCTTGTAGTCCATTTGAAGTGGTGTAGTTGTGACAGCTCAGAGCAGCCCAAACGCTCAGAGATGAAGCCCAGTGTGGCCTGCTATCAGCCGCAGAGCATGGTGACTCAACCATCTACAAATAATGAGAGGGGGATAGAAAGCGAGCGAGTGTGCAGCAGAAAATGAGACAAAGAAAGAAAGAAGGCATGAAAACAGTTGCTGTGTTATGTAACTGACTCAGTCCAACAAAAGGACGTGGTTACTGTTTTATTTTTAACTGCGAGAAGTTATTTGGATTAATTTTAATGATTTTTATTGCATACTCACCAATAACTTTATTCTAATATTTTCTGGGCAATGGGCCAGAGTTGACAGAAATGTTAGTTTGTGCCATATCAGCCAGTTACCATCCATGACCATCTTGAATTAAAAGCATATTGTGCAGAACATCTCAGGAGCACAATATAACATAAAGTTAACAAGCAACATTAAATTCAGTATCAGGTTGACTCTCTACACTCATGGCTTTGGTGTCTCTGCAGAATCCATTTTTGAAATGTCTGAAATTGACGTTGTCAGAAACATTCATTCCATCAGCCTGTGGCGTTATCACAGGTTCTCAGCCTTTGTTGGGCACAAACAGCCCAAAGACACTGACTGCCTGACTGCATCTTGAGTCCCATCACAGTCAGCAGTGACATTTCTGTGTCTCTGTGGATCGAGGCAGAAAGAGTCTCAAAAAGTCTCACTCTGTCTTGTGAACTCTGTTTCTGTGCAATTTACAAAACAGCCACTGACATCAGTTTCTGAATTTCAGATAACCTGGAGCTAGGGTGGGTCTGAGTGTCATTTTTTAAATTCAAAGCTCCTATCACGGTTTTCAAATGTCTGTCGTCAAACTCAATGACATCATCACCCTGACAAAAATTTTATAAATCCTCAAACAAAGTCCTCAGTTTGAATAAAGTGATTCATCTGATTAAATGAGTTAGTTTTTTTTTATTAAATAAACTTTCTTCAAGAATGTAACATGTCAGTTTCATCAACATATATACAGTACAGGCCAAAAGTTTGGACACACCTTCTCATTCAATGCGTTTTCTTTATTTTCATGACTATTTACATTGTAGATTCTCACTGAAGGCATCAAAACTATGAATGAATACATGTGGAGTTATGTACTTAACAAAAAAAGGTGAAATAACTGAAAACATGTTTTATATTCTAGTTTCTTCAAAATAGCCACCCTTTGCTCTGATTACTGCTTTGCACACTCTTGGCATTCTCTCGATGAGCTTCAAGAGGTAGTCACCTGAAATGGTTTCCACTTCACAGGTGTGCCTTATCAGGGTTAATTAGTGGAATTTCTTGCTTTATCAATGGGGTTGGGACCATCAGTTGTGTTGTGCAGAAGTCAGGTTAATACACAGCTGACAGCCCTATTGGACAACTGTTAAAATTCATATTATGGCAAGAACCAATCAGCTAACTAAAGAAAAATGAGTGGCCATCATTACTTTAAGAAATGAAGGTCAGTCGGTCCGGAAAATTGCAAAAACTTTAAATGTGTCCCCAAGTGGAGTCGCAAAAACCATCAAGCGCTACAACGAAACTGGCACACATGAGGACCGACCCAGGAAAGGAAGACCAAGAGTCACCTCTGCTTCTGAGGATAAGTTCATCCGAGTCACCAGCCTCAGAAATCGCAAGTTAACAGCAGCTCAGATCAGAGACCAGATGAATGCCACACAGAGTTCTAGCAGCAGACCCATCTCTAGAACAACTGTTAAGAGGAGACTGCGCGAATCAGGCCTTCATGGTCAAATAGCTGCTAGGAAACCACTGCTAAGGAGAGGCAACAAGCAGAAGAGATTTGTTTGGGCCAAGAAACACAAGGAATGGACATTAGACCAGTGGAAATCTGTGCTTTGGTCTGATGAGTCCAAATTTGAGATCTTTGGTTCCAACCGCCGTGTCTTTGTGAGACGCAGAAAAGGTGAACGGATGGATTCCACATGCCTGGTTCCCACTGTGAAGCATGGAGGAGGAGGAGGTGTGATGGTGTGGGGGTGTTTTGCTGGTGACACTGTTGGGGATTTATTCAAAATTGAAGGCACACTGAACCAGCATGGCTACCACAGCATCCTGCAGTGACATGCCATCCCATCCGGTTTGCGTTTAGTTGGACGATCATTTATTTTTCAACAGGACAATGACCCCAAACACACCTCCAGGCTGTGTAAGGGCTATTTGACCAAGAAGGAGAGTGATGGAGTGCTGAGGCAGATGACCTGGCCTCCACAGTCACCGGACCTGAACCCAATCAAGAAGGTTTGGGGTGAGCTGGACCGCAGAGTGAAGGCAAAGGGGCCAACAAGTGCTAAACACCTCTGGGAACTCCTTCAAGACTGTTGGAAAAACATTTCAGGTGACTACCTCTTGAAGCTCATCGAGAGAATGCCAAGAGTGTGCAAAGCAGTAATCAGAGCAAAGGGTGGCTATTTTGAAGAAACTAGAATATAAAACATGTTTTCAGTTATTTCACCTTTTTTGTTAAGTACATAACTCCACATGTGTTCATTCATAGTTTTGATGCCTTCAGTGAGAATCTACAATGTAAATAGTCATGAAAATAAAGAAAACACATTGAATGAGAAGGTGTGTCCAAACTTTTGGCCTGTACTGTACATGTAGGCAGCAGGCTAATCCAATAAAGGCATAAAATAACGATGAAATAATTACGCACTAGGGCTGTGCCCGACTAAGAATTTTCCTAGTCGACCAATAGTCATCATTTAGGACCATTAGTCAACTAGTCGCCTGCATGTTTACGATATTGATTTTATTATTAAATTGTATATTTTGTGCGGGGCAACACAATGGTTTGAGTTGAAGGTGTGAGAAAGAATAGTATCAGTAACATTGTTAACATTGTGCTACATTACAGAGAAATACAAAACCGTACTAATGAACCTTCATTAATATAGGCCTATATTTTATCTACAAGTGCACGTCACACACTGAGCAAGCCGCCTGTTAATGACGCTGTGGGCTAATGGGCATGTAGCTACTTCCATGTTTCAGATGATACGTCATGTTTGTAGTCGACCAATGAAGATGAGTTTACATATCACCTTGGGTTCGTCCTTCACCTTCTCAAAATGATCCCACACTTTGGATTTCCTGCCCGACATGTTATTAACTAGCCTGTGGAATAACAGCAGGCACCAGCCCTGGAAATTAACCTGACTCCTGACTGACTGCTGAGCGTGGACACTTCCTGTGTCTGTCCTTTCAAATTAAAATCCCACATGGTCCAGTCATATATGTTTTGATTAATTTTGACAAGGCACAGCTCCTAATAGAGTTTCACGTTTGTTTTTTTTGACTATTAGGGGGCAGCTCTAAATGTCATCTTTAGGTTTATAACATTATTCTATGACAAAAATGTCAATAAAATAAATTAGAATAAGGAGAGATGAGAGAGGGGACATGCAATAAGGAGACACAGATACAGATTTCTATTTCTCTCTGTAAGATAAAAACGTATAAGGTGCCAATGTGAGTAGCTCTGTTTGTGTGTGTGTGCTCCATGAAATGTGAGGTCAGATGACAGAGGACCAAATGAATCATTTCACCCTCAGTTTTGATTTGATATGCTGAACTTGAAGTATATACAGTATCACTAAGAGCAGGAGCTCATGATGGAGGTCAAGACTGAGACCTTCTCATATTCTGCCGCTCTGTTTCTCAGTTCTCCAAAATCCCACTCCCTGTTAAATATTGAAGTTTTGGGACAACCGCAGCTCTCATTATTTAAACAGGTAACATTTTGCTCTGGCTTCAGTTTAGCTGGGGGTTAATATATGCTGTTTCATACACCATGGGATGCACTGTCATGGAAGAAGACATATCTCACAATGAAAAACAGGCTGGCATTTTGACGTTACCTGTTTGTGTTTATGCTTGTGTGCTTCCAGAGAGCGCTGTCTGCTGCCGCTACAGATGGCTCTGGAGTCAAAAAACACCAAACTGGGACAGACGGCGCTTACTGGGATGCAGGTACAGGAGAACTGTAAAGATTATTTCTCTTACAACTGTTTCTTTTTTCCGTGTTCTTCCTCTTATTCTTTGTTACATAGAAAATATAGCTCTGCATTGAGATTGTGGTTTGCAACATCGACTCTGCTGTCACACTGTGTTTCAGCCACTGCAATCTCACTTTAAACCTTTTAAACATCAGAATTTGTACCACTCAAACTGACACTGAAAAACAGTAGGAAAAAAACTGATTATATCCATTAACTGCAAACAAGTGCACAATTTTTGGTGTGTACATTTTGGTACTACAGAAAATTAAGTGGAAATATTGATTTATTTGAATATCATAAACAACAATGTTATTTCATGATGTTCCACATGCAGCAGCTGCTTCTTGAAACTCTCTCCCCTCTGCATTTGTCCCGTCAGAAACTCCTGTGTGAGGACAGGTTTGTGGGTGGAGTCGGCGTCGAGGTGGAGGTCCTGGAGAAGCAGCTGCTCAGCCAGATGTTGGAGGCCATCAGAGTCACCCCAACCCTCCATGAAGACCTGCAGGTGGAAGTCATGAAGGTAAAAGCAGGGGATGTTCTTGAATGTATTCTATGTATAGAGTTGGATGTGTATTTTTAAACGTTTATTTTAATTTGACTGTGCCACATTACACACTTAAAGTGCACTCAGTCTGCAGAGGCCTACATCAAAATGAGTAAAGGGATGTAAATATGCTCGGCAGCTGAATAGCTCTGTCTGCATTGCAGCTTTTTCTTTGGTGGTTTTCCTGTAATTCATCCTCTTCTGTGAGTCGCCTCGTTTTGCTTTGTCTTCTCTAGCTTTTGTGTTCAACGTAGTATGGACAAATTTTGCCTCAGCGCTTATGATTGCATTTAAAGTCCTTTTCCCTGAGCTGTTCGATTTATCTCCCCCATTTTATCAAGAATAATAGAGCCATTCATCACCGACTTAATTCTATTTCTGTCTCCTGTGTGCAGGTCCTGCTGTGTATCACCTACTCACCAAACTTCGACATCAACGGAGACTCCATCCTCCGCATTGCTGAGGTAGGACCGCTTGTGTGTTTGATACACATCAGCTTTATCACCAGATATTTGAGATTTTACATCCAGCAACAAACAGGGACTTTCTTTTAGTTTCAGCAATATGCAGAAATAAATATATCAGATTCCTTGTTCAGCAGCTGTTGGGAATGTTGGAGACAGGTGTGTGTCTGAAAAAGCATCTGAGAAATAGCCGAGGGTTTATTCATTTAGGTTTCTGTTTGTTTACACCATAGATGTGACAGTTTGTATCCCTCCAATCAAACAGTACGCTTACATGCACAGTTAAATCGTACTACTGTAATAGCTCAACCAAGCCGTTTAATTGGACTCCTGTCCTTGTCCCAGAATACCAGCATGGGAGTGGGATCGATTTATTGACCCAAGTATGTCCGACTCTGCTACGATTGGTGGCAATATGCCTCCTTTCAGCTTGTTAGTGTTAGACCTTTTTCCGGTTGACCTATTACCTATTACCTAGTCTGAGTGGGTGGAAGTTCGCTGCATAGATCAGCCTCTCATTGGGCGGAATGAGCCACCTGCTGAAGTCCCGCCCTACCACCTCCGGTTTTGTAGCAGTTTTCAACCATTTTCAACACGTCCTTTACTAACTTTTGCGGTGTTTGATCTTGCGGGGATGTAGCCATTTTTCTGCCATGGTTCACATCCTGTAGGCGATATTTTTGTGGGCATGTTACACCAAAACCTGTTTCCCCCCGGCAATATTTTTGCAAGCGCACCATTGCTGTGGCACCGTTCAGAACGATTGTGATTGGTTGAAAGAAATACAAGCAGCCGGGGCGTTTTTTTCTCCAATCTTAAAGTGAGAGTCGGCCCGGCCAGACCTTTCTTTTCTTGAGAAAGGTCTGGTGAGCAAGACTACCTATTACCTATAAATTAGCTACCATTAGCTTGCGGCAAACTGGTGCCATGGTGGACAACTTTAGAGCTTTGTACAGCACTGTGTCTCCTCATCTGTCCGAAAATGCACAGCTCTGGATGTGGATTTCGCCATGTTGTTACTGGATTCTTCTTCTGTATATGAGACGTGGTTACTGCTCAACCTTCAAGTAGTGTTTTAAAAGCTAAATTAGCTTTAAAGTGACCATTTCCCATCCTTTCCCATTTACATCCTGTTTGCCGTCTCTTCTCTTCACGTTCAGCTGATGACAAAGCAAAACTGAGGAATAGATTTTTCCATGTCACAGTATTGGTCAGACTGTTCCGGACCGTGCTGACAGACTGATAGCATCACTCCTTTTTCTTAAAAAAAAGGGCAGTGAAGTGTTTGCAAAGATAGCAGTACATAAGCTCGAGCTATTTTTAAAGGTGAAGCTTTGTTCCGTCCTCACTCACCCGAAGGCCTTGTCTCATGCTGTAATCTCATCAGTTATTCAGAAAATTGCGATGGGTGGTTCTGCACACACACAAACACACACATGGGCGTGAAGATGAGCTGATTTTGGAATATATAAACAAAAACAGGAGAGACTTTTGACATGAAGGGAGGTATTGGACATAAAAAAACCTGACATATTGACACTTCCTGCTTAAAGAAAGCTGTTTTGGTTGCACAGGATGTACTGGTGGAATATGGATTAGCTAACAAAATTCATGGATGTATATATCTTCAAAATCAGATTGCATTAATATAGAAAAACAATTGTAATTAATATGAAATTGAACTCTGGGCAAAGCTTATCTTACTGGAAATCAAAGACAACATGTAGCAGGTTAAAGAGGCTCGGTCTCTTTGAGTGAACAATGTAAAGATTATTAGTTCGGATATATAATGTATGTCCAGTGCTACAGGATAATGTGTGGCACATCATTCAGAGTGGCTGCAGTGCTGTGACATTCAACAGGTTAAATTTTACACTGAACTATAAATTACTTTCTGTGCCAGAGGTATATTTAATGTAATCTCCATCATTTTAAAAGCATAATACAGCCATCAATCAACTCTCTCTGTCCTGCAGGCAGCACAGTGAATCATGTTCTACCAGATGCCTCCACTGGGGATCAATAAAGGCTTTGCTTATCTAATTTTTTTAGCAGGTCAGCTGTGGTTGTAAACGGTGTCGTAGTACTCGTGATAGGTCTTGGTTTTGAGATCGGTCTCAAGATCACTTTTTGAGGTCTCGGTCTTGTCTTGGACTCAGATAAAGAAGGCTTAGGGTTTTTTTTCAAGATCGGCCAAGACCACAGTTGCGGAGACAGCACTAACTTTTCTGTGCAAAAATGAGTATCACGTTGATTTCAGCTCCTTAGTATTTGTATTTGTAAAATTCCCCTCTGCAAGACTTTTGATGATTTGCTCAAGACATTTCTCAATGGTTCACTGATGCATACACACGTAAACCCAGAGGAAGATTTTGCTGCTCACTGTAGTCCTTTCTTTGTCTCATGAGAAATAGAGCAGCCTCTTATCTGGAGATTACTAAATTGTGATCTGTTTCTCCGAACTCTGAGGACAGATACGATTCACAAAGCTGAGACTTGAATTTGGACTTGGACAAACTTCTGGACTTATGTACACTCATTTATGTCCAATCAAGTTTTCTTTTGGATCTGTTATCTCAAGAGCTGATTATTTCATACAAATGAAGGTGACTGCAGTGAGAGAGGAAAAAGGGCATTTTAAGATCTTAAATTTGGATTGGGCCGAGACAAGAGGAAAGCTGTTTCTCAGGAGCTGAATTTAAGAAGTATGAGAAAATGGTCAAAATCTTCTATGGATGGTAAATTGAGCTCAGTTATGTCTAAGAGAATAAGGCTGGACAAAGAGTAGATCTTCATATGCAGTGTGGCAATTGGTGAGGTGAATGAGGAGGAATCTTAATGTGTTTTCTGTGCATGTTTTTATGGGAATGTGGATGTGTTAGATCAATTTGAGGAGTGCCTGTTCCACGTTTTATCGTAAGTGTGTCATGCAGTTTGGTCTGGTCTTGGTCTTGACTTGGTCTCAGTCCCGCGAAGTCTCCATCTTGTCTCGGTCTTGATACACTCTCGGTTTGACTACAACACTGGTAGTAACAACACTGACAAACAACCCACTTTTTTGGCTCTACAACCAGTTGATCCTTGAGTCATAGTCTTTCTCTGCAGCTCTTTTGTTGAGGAGAAACTGAGCGTTAGGAACATACTGATCGACACCAGAGACGATTCAAGCTGACTACAGCTGAGTAAACAAGGCTAGAAATATTCATAAGTCCACCTAAGAAGGAGACAGTACAAAAAGCATATTTTAACAATGAATGAAACCACACAGGGACTCCGACTCCCACAGGCGCTCCACCTGAGCAGAGATCCAATGAACTGAAAATGTCAGTCATTAATGTGCAGACCTGCCACCTGAACAACAACAGGCCGCACCTGGTATCGCCAAACATTAACCCAAATGCCACAAGTCACATATTGTTTTCCAAATCGCAGAGTGTTTTCTGTAGAGTGTTTTCCTGTAACATCACTTCCCTCAGCAGCGACAGCAGCTCCTGTATGTTTGACGTCCATTAACAGCTCATAAAAACCTGGTCAACATGTTGTGTTAATGGGCTGCGCTCAGCCAGGGCTGGCCATCTGGTGTGTGTGTGTATGTGTGTGTGTGCTAGTGTTTCTGTTTGTGTTGGGTCATAACTCAGGGTGGCTGGAAAGGTTGTCAGCAACACTCCATTATCAGTTATATGCCATATAAACAGTGAAGCTCAGCACAGGTTCTTAATGCAGGGATTGGCAGCGCTGAGGGATTTATTCAGTTTGAACCACCTGGAGCTGCAGGTTAATACTTTACCTTTAATACCATCATATCCACAACATGAAAAGTAATTTGCAGTGCTCACTGAGATCATTCCTGTCACCTAAAATTGAGTGTAACTGCATTGTGCAACACAAGCTCACTCATTAATTTTAAGCAAGTAGCAGACTCTCTTTAAGTGAGAGCTGTTGTGTCACTGAATGAATTCCCATTCACCCATTTTATGAGCATTTTCAATTGGCACATAAAAAGTGGAAACAGCGAAAGATTTGACAAAAATCTCCACATATTGAAAAACGTTTTATGCCTGCAGGAGGTGGGACAGTTGGTGTATTGATAAAAGGTAAATGCATGCGAGTAAGTGCAGTGTAAACAGACTGAGCAAATAAATGATGACGTACACTCATGATGTACCATCATAACACAGGCCACTGCCAGCTCTCTTTGTTGTCTATGGAGGCTTTTAACACGCTTATATATTCACACAGAACTCCTTCAAGAACACAGATCTGTAATGTTAGTTGTTCCAGACTCTCTATTTCCATTGTCTAGTGTGCTCTTTGTTAATTTAAATCCATTGTTTTCCTTCGTTTGAGGTTTGACTGGCGCTCTTTTAATTACGTAAGCTTGTTGTGCCCTTATTTTCTGCAGTGGCAGTGAAAAAAGTAGTCCCACCTACTGCTTATATCAATGAACTAACTCCCAATTTTCGCAAAACAGTAGTTGATGGAAAAGCACATCAATTTGCAATTTCTCCTGCTGATTATCTGGAAATTTGGTTAAAATTTGCGCTACACTTGAATGTAAACCCAACTAGTGTCAGACCAATAGAGCGCTCCCGTTATGCTCCTTGTATTTTGTAGGCTGATGCAGACGTTAGCGTGGCCGTGGTTGCCTCGTCAAAAAGCCAGTGGGACTCTTCCATTACATTGTGGATTATTGTGGATAGGTAGCTCTCTGGCAAACAAACATTTACGATCCTGACGCGTTTTGTTCTGTGCGCTAATCTTTACAAATTAACACCACATTTATGATTTTTGATAAATGCAATTGCCAGAAGTAAAACGCTAATGTTGATGATGGCTATAAAAGGACTATATCATGGTTGCATGATGTAGCATCCCTGCCACAGGGAAGCTGTAAATGTGTGCTTGGTGTGATGACATTCTTTAGTCTCATTTAGCAACCGCGTTTTTTAAGGCACATAAAAACTTTGGAATTCATGAGTGAGCTATTTACTGGCGTATTTTATGTCATAGAGCAAAACGTGAAAGTCTCTCAAGCTTGTGTTAATCGCAGACCTTATTTCAGCATCTAACTAAAAAAAGAAAACATTCCAAAAATCCATTGACTTCAAGATGAGGGAAGCGGGAAAGATAAAATGCAATTCATTTCCAGGTTTTACGATTCAATCTTTTTCAGCACTCTATACAACCGTTAGCCTGCACCACCTAGAGGACAGGGAAGTCATGACATGGGATGATGATGAACGTCATACTAATCTCCAGTGGATAATAAAAGCACACATGAAAATACAATTCGTCTTGCTGTTGTACACACCATTTGTTAGCTTTTAAACATTTTGTAAATGAATGTATCATTTATGTCCTTCTCTAAACACCTATGATCACATCCTCTAGAGCATCAGCAAGTGAACCCTCATTCAGTTACATAATTGTGTTGGTTTAATATGTAAAACAATAGCGTTAAATCACATTCATTACACCAAACTGCAGCTATAAAACAAACAAAAAAATTAAGATCTAACATTGACTGACTGTAAAACTGCTGAAGCTCGAGGAAATTTTAATTTTGGGAGACAGCAGGAGGCTGCTTCGTACTCTCCTCTTCATCTCACACATGCATACTGCATCAGGAAGGCCTAATGATGCAGAATGTATTGATCTTCCATTGCTTAGGCCCAGGTGGTGGAAAACATCCCCGAGGTTGCCAAGACTTAAACTGTGAATATAATTAGCAGAAATGGTCTTTGTTTGGAGCTCTCCATGAGGCCGGGCCTGTTAGCTCTCAGCCCCTTCACGCTCAGATGGTGGAGCAGACCTTCGGTAATTAGTGAAATAAATCACATTTTATTGCTGACGTGTTCTGTACCTATTCCCTTACACTCTCCTCTGCTCTGTAAGTATTTGTGGTGCTGAAAAATACCTCTTGGAGCTTTTACTACTGTCTGTATGTCACATTGCTCCTCAGGGACATTAAAGTTTACTTTACCTTATCTTAAATTATCCGTGATAATGTTTTAAAGAAATTTCATGCAACATTTATACCACAATTCAGAGTTTGGGGCAGTTTGTCTACACAGATCTTAACATCAAGGTTACTAAGTCGGCAGCTAGCAGCTAACAGTGCTAGCCTCATAATCAGTGCTAATGACGGCAACAGTGCTGACAGAGCCAACGGTGTTAGCCATGGGGAACTGCAGGGGGATGCTACACTTTTGTGACGCAGTGCAGAGCGCTAGCCAATGGGACGCACTCACTGGGACAGACATGCACTAATATGCACATGCGGCCGTAACACCCACCACAACAACAAACAGAGAACCTGGGATTACAACCATAAACTGTATAAGAATAATGGACGTAGTGACTGTGATGTCATCCATTGTCTTTTTTTGGACAGTGTTTTGAAGCAAAGAGTTTGGCATTTTGATTGTGGCCATCTTGTTTTTGGAGCCAGATGTGACCATAATTTGATGAGAGACTGAAGCTGTGGAGGAGCGAGGGGTGGATCTGGCTCATAGACTGTAGGGATGCCTCACAGACAACCTGTCACTCAAGCAGCCCCGCCCTCATATATGTGTTACCTTGGAAATCCAGAGTTCTCGCGAGAGCACAATTTGAATTTGCTCAGCGAGTCACTCTGGCAGTCAGTAATGATGCTCATTACCCATGCCGTTGGAGCCGAGCTGCACCAATCACATCGGTGTATCTAATATAGGAGGGCCAGAGGAAAGCTAAACAGATGACGACAGCGCTGCAACGACGAAGTCCGGAATCAGTCAGTAAACATTGCAAGATGGCTACGGATGAACACCAGTTGTTTGAAACGGCTTTGGCTGCTGCAGTGAACGAGTTAGACTTGGCTTTTTCTCTAAAAGAGGAACAGAAGGAACAGGCACTCAAATCTTTCCTTTGCAAGAAGGACGTTTTTGTTGTTTTGCCGCCCGGGTATACGGCAAGAGTCTAATCTACCGGTTAGTTTTCTGCTGTAAAGTTTGGCATTTTTTTACACGAAAGTCCATGGGGATTTACCTCAAGCCTCAAGTGGCCATTTGAAGAACTGCAGTTTTTGTCAATTCCACATAGGCTTCATTTTTCAGCCTTGAAGGTTGCTGCTTGATTACAACATACACAGAGGACGCCATTACTCCACTATATGTATTAGGGCTGTCAACGAATATTCTAAATTCGAATTTAAATTCGAATTTGAAAAAAAAAATGGACCTTCGAATGTGAAAATTGATATTCGATTGTGGAGAAAAAAAAAACCACCACCGCAGCTGTCCTCGTGGAGAGTGGGCGTTGGCCTGGGCCGCTGCACTGAACGCACTGCATGACGGGTCAGAGAGGGGGGGCGAGCGAGAGGTCCGCGGTCATTTATAATGTAATGTCATAGATTGTTTTATGTTTTATGTGTTTTAATGTGTAGGTATGTAAATGTTTTCAAAGACGTTTATGTTGAAATAAAAATACCTACAAGGGGTTATGTTTCCTTGTATTAATACATATACAAGTATTTTTTCTTGTATTAGTTTGCCCTCTTGTGGACATAATGCGAAAAATATAAAAAATTCGAATGGTTCAAACCTATGAGTTATTTTTAGAAGGAATATTCGAACGTCATTTTTGAGCCGTTTTGACAGCCATAATATATATTCACAGCAAATAGTGGTGTGCTGCTCTGTTAATGCTCTGAATGTTGCACACAGCTTCTTTAATAAGGCAACAACAGATGCTGCACAATCATTCATCACACTGTAATAAATGAGCAAAAGCTGCTGCAAATTCTGTAATGTTGGGACAAAATAATGACAACAACAGAAACTGTTGGGTATGAGTGAAGCATAGAGGTGAGTGTTTGTGTGTGTGTGTGTGTGTGTGTGTATATGGTGTGTGTCTTATGGATGTGTTTTTGCGTGTGCATTTACTGCATGAACGTGAAGAGCGAGGCATTAACACTCCTGTTGTTTCCCATCCCACTGGGACCATGTGTGCTAAAAACACAAGATAGTCTCATGATACTGCAAGACACTTTTGATAAAAGCATCCACTGAAAGTGTGTGTGTGTGAGTGCGAGTGTGGGTGTGTGTGTATGTGTGTGGGTGATGCTCAGCTGCTGGCTAACTGCTGTCTTACCTTCCACAGTGTTTGCTCTGTGACCTTCTAAACTGGCCAGAAGATGTTTGAAACATCCATTGCATCCTTAATCCCTCTCATTAGTCTGGTAACCATGGTAACTGGTGACGCCATGGAAACCTCCCTCCCTTAAATCTCCCTGATAGTTCAGTATCTGGCAGTAATGCTTTCTTGGGAATGTGCGTCATGTTTTTGTGACTCAGACAAAAGAAAGATCCCACACTAACAGCACTAACAGATGTAATCGTGTGTGTGTGTGTGTGTGTGTGTGTGTGTGTGTGTGTGTGTGTGTGTGTTTAGGTGTGTATCGAGACCTACATGTCCAGCTGTCACCAGCGCAGCATCAACACGGCGGTCCGAGCCACGCTGAGCCAGATACTGGGAGACCTGACGCTCCAGCTGCGACACAGACAAGAGGTCACCAGGACAATAGTTACAGATACCGACACACACACTTAAACATGTACACACTGTGTGCACACTTACAAACTGAGGGTGGTACTGAATATATAATGTCATTACACTATATCAGATACTGTGCTCTGGTTTGGGAGAAACAAAACCAGGAGCACGGGATGACTCGTTTAGGAAGCCTGGGACATTACAGCATTCAAAACTGGCCCAGCTGTGTCTGCAGTGCTGAAAATCAAAAGTTGATTAGTTGGTTAGACAATCAACACAAATCTGTCTACAATTTTTATCATTTATTTGAGTAATTCGTCATTTTTTAGGACCAAAACATTCTATTTTTCAGTTCCCTAAAGGGGAGGATTTGTTGATTTTGTCTGTTATATATTAATGTACATGTAAATGCATACTGTATATATACACGAGTACAACATTCAAACACCAAACTGGCACACAGTAACACTCTGTTACTCACAGTGACATCACTCTCTCACCTACACCATCACATCTGTGTTGACACAAACACCCCAGAAAGACACAGTCGCAGTAAACATCTCTGTCGCTGTGTGCTCCTCCGCAGGGTGCAGATGGAGACGAGGTGACTGCGCCGCCACTCCACAGAAGAGGTACGTCATTACCAGTGCTATCCTTCACCTCTGCAGCTCTTCCTCATCAGCTGGAGGGCTGTCATCACTTCTATTATACACGCATACACACTCAGAGGCCAATTTATTATGTACAACTGTACAGTCTGTTATATTTCACTACAGCGGCTCTGCCATAAATTCTGTCTGTATAATCTTCAATTTTTGTAGACTTTGTCGAAAATGTGTAAATTCAATTATATGTTTAATACAGAGGTCATAGTGAAAGGTGGTGCTGTACGTGATTGCATTATAATGAGTTGTGTTTTATCCCTCCCATTTATTATACATGAAGGTCAGAATAATAGAAACACCTCTGAGTATAATAGTGTCCGGTGCGACATTAATATGACCTTGATGCTTAATTCTCTCTCTGTGACAGTGTCAATACAAACTGACATTGTAGGCTCAATTAAAGTAGACTTTATGGCAGATACAACATGGTGTATTGGACTGCATTAGACAGATGTACCTAATAAAGTGACCACTAGTGTAACAGCTTCCCATAAGCATATAGATGGAGAACTATATTGCATGAGAAGGGTATGTTAAAGGACAACTTCAATGTTTTGCTAAATATGCATATTCTGATTTTCTTTTAGTGAAGTTTGCACAGCCTTAAAGGGGTAGTTCAATTTTTTTGAAGTTGGGTTGTATGAGTTGTTTATACACATTCAGTGCATTACCTAGAGTCGATGGTGGTCAGCACTCCCCCAGTTTGGAGAAGCAGGCAGGAGAAACACCACAGAAGCTAAGCAGTGTACTGCTTTGGATGGGGGCAGCAGCGAAACGTTTTTCATCCACACACAAAAAAAGTACCACCTAAAAAAACATATCAATGTTTAGTTTTAGTTTAATGTAAGTAAAGGTTTTAACTTTTAGTATTTAGTTTAAGTCTATGCTACATTTAGAATATTTTTACCTGCCCTTTCCAGAGTACTGACACTGTTATATCGTTCTGTTAAAGCCACCAGACTCCTCTGGCGAAAACAGTACTTTTACCTTGCAGAACATGAGAGTTGCTGGTCTACTGCTGTGTTATCTGTTCCTGCTTCAGCTCCCCGACCTTGGTCAGGAAGCACAGGGGAGATTTGTTTACCAGCAGCTGGAAAGCGACACACTGGAGCTCCTCTTGGTCTTGAGAAGCGGCAGCCTTTATTAACAGAAAAACTGTGACCTATAGTACTCTGCACATTTACTGCTAAGCTCTGCTGCCTTCACTGTCATTTGCATCACCTGCTCACTTGCTCTCGCTTGACTGCTCACTCCATGCGCGCACACATACACACACTACCGTCTCTCTGTTTAAAACACAAAACACAGTGACACTAACTCCCATGTTCTGAGAGGTAAAATTACTGTTTTTGTCAAAGGAGTCTGGTGGCTTTGAAGAGAGCAATGTAACGGCTTCAGTCCCCTCTTTGAAAGGAAAAGGACGGAAAAATTCAAACTGTCACCTTGAGCACACAGTTACTCAAAGGGAACACTCCTAGCTGAAGGCAAACAAAGTAAAGCTTAGACTGGGGGAAACTGAGGCAAATCTGTCAATGTAAAGATGAGTTTTAAAAGCTGCTGGGATGTTCTAACATACAGAAGATAAACCCGTCTGACTTTTATCATAACATGTCTTTCTTTTGGTGGCACCTTCAGGATGAACTGTGTGTTATTTTCTTATATTAAGTGGGCATTCAAGCTTCATGAAGCAGCCAGTAGCTGTGGACTTCTACTCTTCTGTAGTGTTCAGTGCAAACTGTTTTATCGCTGTTATAAAGTCACTGTAATCACCAGTCTGCAGGCAGCAAGAGACGCCTTCACAGAGACTGGCAGGGCTTCTTTATGATACTATACACACACACATGCACAGAATTTAGATGGGAGCCTCTGCAGGCATAGAGAAGGACAGCTTAACCGAGGTGGTATTGATTTATTTTATTTATTACAAAGAAATGAGGAGGTGTGAGAGAGACGAGGAGAAAGTAATGAGTTTTTTTATCACTTCATGTACATATTGAATAAAGATAAAGTAGGTGCCATAAATTAACTTATTATGGTGTGTGTGTGTGTGTGTGTGTGTGTGTGTGCGTTTGCAGATATTTCCCCAACCAGCCAGGCTCTGTGTGAGGATGTGGTGACGGTCCTGACAGTTTTCTGTGAAAAACTGGAGTCGGTGGACAGGTAACCCTGCAGTATTTCACTCCTTCACGTCATGTCCTCTCTTTTGTTGTTGATGTAATATTTAGGTGATAATTCAGCTTGAGGCTTTCTTGTCCTTGAGTCATCAGGCTTTGCTGTAGCGTCGCACACCTCCGAGGAATTTCAGCTGCCACACAGGAAATTGATGATAATAGTCTTTGTGCCAGAGCAGCATTTGAAGGAGCACAAAAGATGTTTAAACTTTAAAAAGATGTGTTGACAGTGTTGATAAGCTGCTGTACTGGTTTCCTGTCTCCATCACATATCACTCTTAGGGTGTTTTCACGTGTAGTCTTTTTTAAACAAACTGAACCCGGTCCTATTTAAGTGCACCAAAACAGAAAAAAGGACTCAGTTCTTTTTGTGTTCACATTGGTGGTTCTGCTTCTCCTTGCCCTGCATCCTTGCATGTGTTACAGGCCAACGTGGTTTTCTCTGTTTTTTCAAGTGTCCTAGTGCAATACCTTGTGAACTAGAGGGCTAAATACAATGGCAGAGAGCAAAGCAAACCTGGAGCGCTTTGTGTTCACAAGGCACAAATTAAGTGAACCGCACCACAGACTTAAAGCGCATCATACTCAGGCCCCCTCAGGAGGTGGTCTTAGTTCTCTTGGAGGCCTCACATATGTACAAAAAATGCTGAGTCACCACTGTTGTATCTTTTCACCCTCCAGTGATAACCAGCTCCTGCAGCTCCTCTACCTGGAGTGCATCCTCTCCATGCTCAGCAGCTGTCCTCCCACAATGCACCTGTCCAGAGGTTTCACCGACCTTGTATGGTAAGATATGTCACTCTTGTGTAATCCTGTGTTCATGAAATGGTTAAAATGTTTAGGAATTATTTTATTTAACATTTTTTGAGAGCCCTTTGGGGCAGCTGTTGCTCAGATGGTAGAGCGGGTCGTCCACCAGTCGGAAGATCGGTGGTTTAATCCCCAGCCTCTCCTGCCTGCATGTCAAAGCATCCTTGGCCAAGATACTGAACCCAAAATTGCTCCTGATGGCTGCTCCATCTGTGTGTGAATTGTTACTGAGCAGCAAGTGGCACCATGTATGGTAGCCTCAGCCATCAGTGTATGAATGTGTGTGTGAATGGGTGAATGTGACATGTAGTGTAAAAGCACCTAGAGTGGTAGGGAGAGAGAAAGGTGCTTTACAAGTGCAGTCCATTTACCATTTGTCCAGTTAATGATAATTTGAGATACCTTGGGTAATGTAATGTTTTATGTTTTATGTCCCCCCCCCCCATCCCAAAAAAAAAATCTGCGCTGTTATCTATTCATAATCCTAAAACCATTAAAATCTCTCCTCCCAGGAAGCAGCTGTGTCCGTCCCTCGTTGCGATCATGGGGAATCCTGTCAACGACAAAACGATTGCTTCCCACCACGGCTACATGGGGGCGCCAGACCGCCTTTCGGAAAGACTCAATTTAGGTAACTGGATTCTGTAAGGAGTCTGTAATGTTCAACTGTTTCTAGTCTGTGTTTGGTGTTCAGCTATAATATTGAAGAAAGTTTGTAACTGTTTCACACATACTGCATTTGCATTATCATTTTAATATATGTGCTGTTGTGGTGCTGATTGACAGCCTTTTATCCTCCTACTGCTCTTAATTCTTGTGTCAGTGATTGAAGAGATACCCTGTTGCAGGTACAAAGCCTCATGTCAACATTGTCATAGTTGCTGTGGAACAAGTCTATTTACTTAATCAGAGATAAAATAATCAAGGATTTCACAGTCAGTTGCCATTTTGGACAAAAAAAATCTTCTCCTAAAAACCCAGAGCTTTTAAACAAAGACCACATCTAAATATTTACCTTCCTACCAGCAGTCAGCTTCATGGTGTCTATCTCCTTTAGTAGGAAACTTTTTTATTAGACAATAATAGACAATGATAGGTGATGCTGATTTTAGATTTTGGACTCAGACTTCCTTCTAGTTCTAGGTGTGAGACAGCTTTTTCGTCAACACGATTCAGCTTCATGTCCCCCCTCCTTTCCCTCCGTTAGGGATCGGTCAGGAGGTGGACTCCTTCGGTGGAGGAATATCCGACCAAGGCAGAGGGTCTGGCTGTTCCTCCAGCGCCCCCGCCAGGATTGCACCAGTAGTGCGGACTGTGTGTTACATTGCAGCGGAGCTTGTGCGTCTGGTGAGCTGCGTGGAGTCGATGAAACCGGTGCTGCAGTCGCTCTACCACAGGATCCTGCTGTACCCGCCTCCTCAGCACCGCACCGAGGCCATCCGCATCATGAAGGAGGTGGGAAGAGGAGACTTTGTTGCTGACCACTTTTCTGAAGCGTATTAGAACTTTTTAGATTGATTTTCTACCTTCAGGCAGCCATTGATTTTCTTTCCACTTCATCGAAGTATAAGTTATTCATTATGTTGCGATGCATTTCTGTGTGTGTGTGTGTGTGTGTGTGTGTGTGTGTGTGTTTGTGTGTGTTTGTGTGTGTGTTAGATTCTGGGCAGTCCCCAGCGGCTGTACGACCTGGCCGGTCCCTGCATGGCTGAGCCTGAAACCAGGAAGCGCTCCTTCTCAAAGAGGAAGTCCCACCTGGACCTGCTGAAACTGTCAGTACCTCCTCTGTCTTTGCTCTTTATCTGACTTCACTGAGCTAAATCTTGATGTCACTGATGGTAGTCCTTAAATAAAAAGCAAAATAATCTGTTCCTTCTGTTTCTGCTTCCTTCCACAGAGTGATGGATGGGATGACAGAGGCTTGTATGAAAGGAGGCATCGAGGCGTGTTACTCTTCAGTCTCCTGTGCCTGCGCTCTCCTCGGGGCACTGGATGAACTGTCGCAGGGCCGCGGCATCCAATCTGAGCAGGTATGCCACTGAGACAGAATGCTACAAACATTAAGATTTGCACTCAAAATAAATATATTAAGTGGAAGGACTTGGCATAGATGGATGCCCCTTTACTTAGCAAGTATAAAACACTAATGCAGCAGCTGTTTCTCAGGCTCGCCTCCTCCTCAGACGACTGGAGGATCTCAAAGACGGAACAGAGTCGACCCGTGAGTCCATGGAGATAAACGAGGCTGACTTCAGATGGCAGAGACACATCCTCTCCTCCGAGCAGGCTCCCTGGGACCCCAGCTCTTCCTCCTCCAATGCAGGCACAACCGGGGCCACCGAGCGGAGCCCTGACATCAGCATCAGCATCACCACTGAAACGGGCCAAACCACTGTGGATCTGGAGGCGGGGGAATTCAGCGCGGGTCTGGGTCACACCACTCCCGAAGAGTGTGGAGAGGAAGCACGCATCCCCTCGCCCTCGTCCTGTGGCGTCCAGGAGGTGCCTAAACATGAGCCGAGCATGGAGTCGAATCAGGGGAGCCAACAGCAGCAGGCAGGAGTTGCGAGGGAGGTCGAGGGAAGAGGAGAGAAGGAAAGAGCAGGAGGGGGTGAGAGAGGAGCTGTGGTTCCTCCAGATGTGGTACAGCGAAGTCACGGCCTCGTCTACCCCGACATCACCAACTTCCTATCTGTGGAGTCCAGGACCAGGACGCACCATGGAGGAGGGTCACGATACAGTGAGAGCAACTTCAGGTATGTTTTTAAAGGTTCAGTGTGAAGGGTTTAGGGGCTTTAGTGGCAGCTAGCAGTGAGGATTGCAGATCGCAACCAGCCGAAACCTCTCCTGGTTAGAATTCCTTCAGCGTTACATTGTTTAGGAGGTTTTACCATGAGCTTATTAATTCGTAGAAGTCTCTTCCTTTCTTAAACAAACAACAGGTGATTAAAACCAGCAAAAACACTAAATAAAGCAGATTCACATTACAAATCAGTGTTTCTCCTCTGCCGTTTGGCATGGCAGAGATGGGCAGCTTGCCCACAGCATGCTAATGTGTGCTCACCTTTTTTCTCTGATAATGTAAGATCCAAATTTTCATGAGCTGAATCATCCAGAGGTCTCCTCCTCTCCAAAACAAACAGACCCGGTGTTTTGAACCAGTAAAAACACTGAATAAAACCATTTCATGTGACAAATCAGTGTTATTCAAAAATGCAAATGACCCTATCTGAAGCCAGTGTTTGTTTTGTCCGTTCTGGGCCACTGTAGAAACAAAAGCACAACGATTTTTATTTTCAGGCGATCACACACTATAAAGTAAAACACTTATTATAATTATTTTCCATTTCTGTCAATATATCCCCCTAAATCCGACACACTGGACCTCTAAGCCAAATTATTGTGACGTGATTGTGTTTTCTGTGCAGTTTAGGAACTATATTGATGCAAACAACAAAGACATTAATAAACATATCAATATCAACCGTTTGCTCCTGAATTTACATTACAGTTTCAGTTTTTGGACATTAATGTATTCTTCAATGCAGAACCGAGGAGCTGCTTTACTGCACAATGATACATTAATTTACCAAATAAATAAATAAGTAGATAAAGGAATCAAATTGCCTCTCGAAAGACTCTCAAACCAGTGGCTGCCTGAAAAGTAGGAAATCAATCTTCATTTTTTACAGTATGGCCTGAAAATGGTCATTAACAACTAATCTACCTGTTGGTCCATCAGTATGGAGGAACAGGACTTGTCCCGGACAGAATTTGACTCTTGTGACCAGTATTCCATGGCTGCTGAGAAGGATTCAGGGCGATCTGATGTGTCTGACATCGGCTCTGACAACGTGTCGCTGGCTGACGAGGAGCAGCAGACGCCCCGCGACTGTCCGGGCCACCGCTCCCTGCGCACTGCCGCCCTGTCCCTCAAACTGCTCCGCAACCAGGAGGCCGACCAGCAGAGCGCCAGGCTGTTCGTCCAGTCGCTTGCAGCACTGCTGCCCCGGCTGCTGGGATTGGCCACCACCACGGAGGTAGACCTGTCGCTACAGAACTTCTCCTCCACCTTCTGCTCCGGACTGCAGGCTGGTGAGAGAGCTCTTTCCTGATTTAATGTGTGTTGAGGTTTTGTTTCTTGTCATGTTTGAAGCCTGGGAGGTGCACAGACTCTATATGTGTGTGTTTGTGTGTTAGCTGAACAAACACAGGGTATTTGCTGAAGGTGGAGCGATCTGTGCAGCAGCCTCTTCCTTTATTAATCAGCTCTGGCCACAGGGAAGTCCCAGCTGTTGGCTGAGTCCCAGAATGAGACACTCCGTGTTTATGGCTGTAGTATAAATCTTTAGATACATCATACTGTGGGGACACTCTGGGATGTCATTACTATCCCCGTAATATAGTGCAGGGTAATGTGAACACAAACATGAAATAAAATTCAAACATCGTACTGTTGAAGTGAAACTAAAATGAATGATTAAAGCTAGTGATGATCAGAATTCACAGGTGAAGCTAAAGATGTGTGCACACAGAGTTTAATGTATATACTGTAGCTACTCTACATTCAGCTCATCACTTAGAGCAGTTATAATAAAACGTTTTGAGGCATGACCCATAATCCATCTGAAGAAGCGGCGAGCCTGCTGGGAGTTTTTACATCAGCGGAGCAAAAATTACGAATCAAATTAAACTATACGGTTAAGTGACTTAATGAATTTGGCCGAGGCTGCAAATCCCCAGAGTGAGTTTCTGATTAAAACACTTTCCTTATCATCAGCTAACAGATTATATCTCACTGTCTCCTCTCACCTTCACACTCATCCCCTCTGTCCTCCCTTCACCTGCGTCTCCGTGTTTCACTCCCTCGCTTTTTATTAACCCGCCTCCCTTCCTTTCTCTCTCCTCCTCCTCTACGCTTTTACTCATGCTCCCTTTCCCTCTCATTTTCTTCTCATTATCTTTATTCACACTCCCTTCTCCTCTTTTTTTACCCAGCATCTCTTCCCTCTCCCTCTGACATCCTTCTGTCTCCTGATCTCTTCTTTCCCTTTTCTCTTTCACCCTCTTGTCTCCTCTTACTTACCTACTTTCTTTTTCCCTCTCTTTCACTCTTCTTGTTTCTCTCTCCTCCTCCCTCTTTCATATTACCACCCACTTTGTACTTTGCTAGAGTCTTTTTATTTTCTTCTTTCCCTCCATTCACCTCACTGTCTCCCACTTGCTCTCTCGTCTCTGATCAAATCAAATAAGCCTTGTTGGCACGAATGTCTGTTTGATGTTCTTTTCTGTTGGTGTGTTTCTTGTGCTAAGTTCGTCACCTGTTAATGATGTCAGTACAATAATAGCAATGAAAATAATAATGATCTTTACTTATAAAGCACTTTTCAAAACAGTGTTACAGCGCACTTTCCGAGGCAGCGAAATAAAACAGTCATGTCATAAAAACAAGTTTTTAAAGAAGATAAATGAAAAGAAAGGAGTTTTAAAATCCCGCTGTCTCTCTCCAGGTGGGATCCACTCTCCAGGTTTCGAGGCAGGCGACACTCTGAGCTGTCAGTCTTTGATGAACGCTGACGGTCTCTACCTGGTGTCGTACTACGCTCTTCTGCTCAATCTCAAACTCTGCTGCTGCGAATACTACAGGCGGCGAACGCTCACGCCCGTCCTCAGCCTGGTGAGCAGGAAAACTGCACAAAACAATGACAGGGTTTCCACTGAAATATTTGCACATGTTGATATAGCTACTTTAGTCTAGTAATACATCTGCATACTTCTCCCACCACGGCAAAATAGCGGAGGAAAGTCAGAAAATAAAGTAAGATTTGATGTATTTCCAGAAGGCAGTGTAGAAAAGACTTTGATGTGCTGTGTGTGTTTTTGCAGAAGGAGTTTGTGCGTCTGATCCAGAGCAGCGGAGTCCTCGTGGTTCTGTCTCAGGCCTGGATCGAGGAGCTCTACCACCAGGTGTTAGAGCGCAACCTGCTGGGCGAGGCCGGGTACTGGGGCTCACTAGAAGACCACACACTGCCGCTCATTACCATGCTGACAGGTACAAACGCACCCACAAGCACACAGCCTTTTGTATATCTGGCTGCTCTCCACATCCTACAGACTGCATGCTGTACTCGCCTGGAAACCTGAAATGTTTGAAAGATGTACCTTATTTAAGTTAATCAAGTTACTGAGTTGACTCACAACAAGTCACTTTGATCACATTTGTTTCTATTTTCTCATACTTGTCGCTCTCTTCTCCTTCTTCTCCTCTCTCAGATATTGACGGTCTGGGCAGCAGTGCGATTGGTGGTCAGCTGATCAGGAGGGCAACCAGCCAATCACCAATCAGCTGTGACAAGGCTGGCAGTGACACTGTGATGGCAGGTCAGTAGCCCATCATCATAAATCTGCCCCCAAACCCCAGATGTATGATGGATGGATTGATTGATCGATTCATTCACCCATTTACTCGGTGAATCCTTCATTAGTTCCATATCGCTGTAATAGCATGAGTGATTTTTTTTTTTCATCACGTGATAAGTGGATTTTTCTCTCCTTCAGCTGTGCTAAGAGTGATATTGAGAAAGTAATGAGACATTTAATTCTCTATAGTTAGCAGTGGCGTTTTACTGCAGGTTAAAACCTCTTTACCTCTTTTTTTTTTTTTTTTTTGTGGAGTGATGTTGGAGCTTTTCCCCGGAGCCGCTAAATCAGCCCAGCTCACTGCTTCTAAATAGGGTTCACTCACTCTGAAAGTGCTGCTGAACCGCTGCTGTGCTAATCAGCCGAAAATGCTGCACAGGCTGTGCGCTGAGAGGTGAAGCTTCCCAAAACAGAGCTGCTGCTCAAATGCTCCGACCATTTATCGTGGTGCCTTGGGCATCGCAGGTCACAAATGGGCCTCGCCATAACAGGCAGAAAAATTAATAATGGAAGGTTTTATATCCTGCTGAACTTAAAGTCTGTAGCAGGGAGCATGGTGTAATTGCTTTGGCACATCATTAACACCAGTTAGCATCTGCCCTCCAGTGGGATGTTGGAAACAGCCTGTCAAAGGTCTGGTGTGTAGGAGTAGGTTTTCATTAGTGTATATTCACCTGAAACTAAGAGTCTTTGTGTTTTTGTTACCTTAGAATGAGCCATTTATCCACCATGTTGTTTCTACAGTAGCCCAGAATGGACAAACCATGGACCATTTGCATTTTCACATCAGCCACCATAGTTCTCCTACACACTTGGCAAACGGAGAAGTTTCAGTTGGTTGCAATGTTGCATCCTCACCGCTATATGCCACTTAATCATGCACACTAGAATTTGATGTATTTATTCTGGAATTTAATTTACAGGTGAAGCTAAATCCAATTAGCATGATCACACCAAACAAGGCAAAATAAGTTCTGCATCAAAACGGGGGTTGAAACTGGTGTAGCATAAACAAGACTTAAAATAAGAGCGGCTGAGACATAGAGTTGCACATTTGAGGGCCTTTTAATCTTGAGAGAATTCTGACATCAGTCACTGCATCTTCCCAAACTCTGGCGAGGTCGCATTCAGAATTAAAAATCAAAAGATCTCCTACCTTTCTATGCGGCCACAGCGTGCTCCTCTCACAGAGTGAAGAGACGCAGCAAACTTTGTGTCGTTTTCAGGGCCCTCTCCCCGACAACGCCAATTATGTCGTAGCACAAATGAGACATTTGAAGGTCTTTTAATCTCGAGGGAAAGCCAAAGAATTGTTACATCATGACAATTAATAGTGTCTGACGAACAAGCAGTATCAGTTCAAATATGTGACACTCCTACATGCACACATTGAAGGTGCTTCCTGTCACTTAGACTGCTGTTTTTAACCAGTCCTGGGAGCATTTGCTTCTCTTTGTACACCCAGATTTGGTCACGGTCATGTCAGATCATCTGGCTGGGGTCATGTCAGGACATCCACACTACAAAACTTGCCAGCGCTCACAATGACAATGGATATAAAACCTTTTAATCAAATTTAAGGTTTTGTCTACTGTGATGATTCATTGGTTGATCTGAAGCTTGTTACATAGAATGAATAATTACTTCACCAAACAGGTCATGTTATTGATTTTTGGACATAGATGTTAATTTAAAGATTTCAAAGACATTTAATGGAAGTGGTTAGGTTTGCAAGATTGACCATTTTTCAAAATTTGATTCATTGTATACTGCTCTGGAAATTGTGTCCAGCTAATCAAATTATCACTTTAAAAAAGGAACAAAAGGTCAATTGGTGGATGTGACTCAAATATTAATGTATCACGTCACTGAATTTGCACTGAGAAAGACAAGAGGCTCAGAAACTGAGAACTGCACTGAGAAAGACAAGAGGCTGAACGGAAGAAAATGATGAGAGGAAAGTAAAACAGAAAGGTGAGGGGTGAGGGGGAGGAGAGCAGCAGAGGGCAGGCGCAGAGAGGAAGATGGAAAATATGAGTCAGGGACCACCTGCGCTCCTTCTGCATCCCCCTGGAGGATTAAGGATTGGCCAGAATTGCCATGGTAACTGCTGCTGAGTCACACCCGGCGAAATTTATACCCTTGGTGCTCTTGTGTGTGTGCTCCTGTTCGACTTGTCAGCACCATCAATTACTCCAGCCACTTGCTGTGTAAACACCCAGTAACGGACAGAAACTGCTTTGCTTTGTTGATAAAATCTTAATGAATGTCTGATGTGTTACAGTGTTGTACAGCATCCTGTTGTTTCCTGGCAGCAGCTACAGTAGCATTAATCTTGTTGCTTTGACACCTCTCTCAGTTGAGCCTGTGTGCGTTTTTCAGGAGCTGTGTTCTCCCGCTTCATCCTTACCGGCGTGTGGAAAAACCTGATCGATGTGCTGTCCACGCCACTGACTGGGCGCATGGCGGGGAGCTCCAAGGGCCTGGCCTTCATCCTGGGAGCTGAGGGAGTCAAAGAGCAGAGCCAGAGGGAGAGAGACACCATCTGTCTGAGCTTGGACGGCCTACGCAAAGCTGCCGCACTCAGCTGCGCCTTGGGTGGGTGAAACATGTGTCTCATGTGTCTCTGGTAATAAGAAAAATGAGATACATCACTCATCTCTGTGGGGAGTCCTCTGTTCTCTTTCTCCTCAACATAGAGAGGTCAGACAGGTCAGGGTCAGATACTCAGCAGCCGCCCAGGAGCTGGAACGATTCAGTTGATGTAGAGGCATGTACCTGCCTTCAGTATCACCACTTATTTTTAGCAGCTAAACAGACACTCAAAGCTTCCACTTGAGTCAAACCACCCTGATACAACTCCCAGAACTCATGAATCTTTACAACCGGAACACCTTCTTATGTATCTCTTGCAAAGAGTTTAATGTCTGTGGTTAACCACACTTGTTTTGGCTGATTTGACCTCTTAAGGCTCAGACACACCAAACAGACATCAAAGAACTAGTGACGACGAAGGCCGACTGTTGCGTCGCCTTACATCGCCCGTGTCTCGGCAAAAGTTGCACTCAAAGACAATGGCCAGCTAGTACCTACATTCTGCGCGGGAGGAAATAACTCTCCATCGCAGCATACAGCAGTGGTGTATATGTCCTTCAAAAATGGAAACTGGAACACAGACAGGACAGATTCATGATGCTAGTTAGCCAGTTAGCACATTAACAACACAACCTGTTGTTGAAAGAACAAATGTTAATTACCATGCGCTAGCAAACATTAACACAATTATAAACCATTTCTGCTAAAGAGCTCTTTCAGTTTTTCCAGTCTCATCCCCTCCTTATTTTAGCCGTTTGTTTACTTTCCTCACTTCCGTTTCTCCTTTCTTACACTGAGCTGAAGTGCCAATCAGATTTTTTTCTTTCACCGATGGGCTCTGCTGTCTCTGACACGGATTCAACATGCTGAATCAGCCGGAAAAAAGCTGTAAATGCCCCACTAGTGCCAATGGTGCGGGACACACCACACAAACTAGAGAGACAGACGCTCATCAATGGCCTGACATTGTCGTGGCCCTTAGAGCTCATTGGGTGTGCCACAGATTGACCCTTCCCTCAGTTTCCTATTTTTTTTTGTTAGGTCACGGCAGCTTACAGTACAACCTCTTCCCAAACCCACCCCTAACCAATAGTTAATTGCGGAGATGTGTCCCCCTTACAGCACACAGACACCTTGCTCATTCATCTGTTGTCACATACAGGCTTCCTGTAATCGCATAAGATCCATGAAATAATTAGCACCAACTGTAAAATTAGGTGAAAACAAGACAATCCTTAAATGTATATGATGTTTTCTGCATTATAGTGGATGAGTAGGAAGTCAGCCCCAGGGCGGACTGGCTGTTGGAAGGTTTTATTGTCCACTTCGACTCCACAGTAACCAGTTTGGGATGGTCCTTAACACAACAAGCTCTCCACAGAAATGCACAAGATGGAGATGAAGTGGAGAGGGCCAGGGGGCAGGGGCTGTCATGAGGTTAAGATTGGTGTGTTGAATAACCTGTTGTGTGTGTTGTGTTATGCAATAGAACTGCCTTTTCAATACAGCAGGATTTATAAAGTCGTAGAAGACCTACCTCAAAGTCTGTCGCACACTGTTTCACACTGTTTGTTGCTTAACCCAGAAACTATAAACGGTGCACACAGTTCTCACACTGAACGTGCCCCTGTTGATTTTCTTTCTAGTATATGGTGTTAATGAACCCCATGTGATTCCCAGCATATATCCACCCAGTTACAACTTGAACAGAGGTCTAATTAGCCAGAATAATTGAGAGCATCTGTAAAGGTATGCAGGGTCTTTTGATATTATTTAACAACTCTTCTGGCAGCCTCTAAAGTCACAGTAAAGTACATTAACTATCACACAGATGAAGTGCAAATGTCGGTAGTTTGGTTTTGACACATCAAAATTAAGCCCATCCCCCCTGGAGTGTACAAATGTGCAGAACATCAGTCATCTCTGTTTTGATTAAACTGAGAGAAATGAACCTGAACTGATTATAAATACACAATATGCTGTGCTGTATGTTGTAACAGAAAGTGGCAGAGTGGCACAAAGAGTAAAATAATTGCTCTATTAAATACTTTCAGTGTGAAAAATAACAGAGGACATCTGGAATTTGCTTCTTTGCTTGCCGTTGGCAGCTGGTCGGAGAACTTAATGGTGATCAATATTTTATCAAACAAAAATGAAATTAACATTTCAGCCTGCTGACTGTTGATTTAACAATCCACTGGGCTGGATAAATGGTGGCAAAGTGAGCATTATGGCCGACTGCTGCTGTTGTGAAGCACATTAAACATTTCTGGTGATTTTAAAACATGCAGTATGTAACATAAAGGCTAACATAATTCTACGGATTGTGCGGGATATAGATTTCCTTCCAAATGTATTCATCCAGGAAAGGTTTTGCCAAGCTTTAAATGAATCGAATGTCAATTCAATCAATTCAATCAATTTTATTTATAAAGCCCAATATCACAAATCACAATTTGCCTCACAGGGCTTTACAGCATACGACATCCCTCTGTCCTTTGGACCCTCACAGCGGATAAGGAAAAACTCCCCAAAAAAACCCCTTTAACAGGGGAAAAAAAAAAACGGTAGAAACCTCAGGAAGAGCAACTGAGGAGGGATCCCTCTTCCAGGAAGGACAGACGTGCAATAGATGTCGTACAGAACAGATCAGCATAATAAATTGACAGTAATCCGTATGACACAATGAGACAGAAAGAGAGACAGAGAGAGAGATGCAGGACAGACGGTAATGACAGTAGCTTACAACAACATTAATGAAAGTAATAATATTATCGTTATAGTTGTGGCTACTGTGGTACAATATGTTGAAATATGTGAAATATGTATTGCTTTAGTTAATAAACACAGCTGCCCAGTAGCATCCTGAACCTGTTGGACACTCAGCGGCTCCACTGGAGGCTAACAGAGAGGTTAAGGTTTTCATCAACTGTTAACTGCAGGTTGTAAAGAGACTATCAGGGGAAATACATTTTTACAACACCCCCGACTGGCCATGAAAACTGATAGAAATTATCAGCACAGAAGCATTAATGAATATGAATGAACACATGGTGCACACGCTAAACTGTGGAGAGAGGACAGTATGTGGGGAGGGATGGTCCAGTTAGAAGTGAAATGCACCCAAAGGAGATGAGAACCCAGACATGCTGTGTATAAATCTTTGAATTGTCTCATTAGTGGAGTCAAAGTTTTGGATGAGAACTGAGAGTGACGTTTTCACTGCACAGTGATGTGATTTTTACGATGAGAAAATTAATGATACTCAACTCGTGTGTGTGTGTTTGTGTGTGCCATCAGGTGTGGCTGCCAACTGTGCCTCAGCATTAGCCCAGATGGCTGCGGCCTCGTGTGTGCAGGAAGAGAAGGAGGAGAAGGAGGTGGGAGAGATGGGAGACGCCATCACGCAAGGTACTGAGACTAGCAGCTAAAGAATACACTCACATGCACGCTCATACACAATAAAACAAACAGAACACAGATTTGAGTCGACAGCGTTGGCTTTGCACAAATAATTAATATCTAACAGCTCAAACATAAAGAAATCCTGAATGATTTTTTTTCTGTTATTTTAAAGCCAAGGTAAATATCATTTTGAACAATAGCATGTTTGATAAAAAAAAATAACACTGGTACCATTAATACATGCCTAGACTCTGATCCAGACTTTCCAGTGAGTTACCATGAGCGAAAAATAAGCCTTTAGTGACACCTAGTGACAGCTGTGGGAACTACAGCCCCATCTCTTCGCTCAACTTTTACAATCCCCTATATTTTTGAAACAAGGATCAATGTTGAAATTTAGACAAGCTTTTAATGATATCAGCTATCTCCATGTGTTGCATGCAGCATATATTAAAGGGATAGTTCAGATTTTGTTGATGTCTGGTTGTATGGAGCACTTATCCATAGACAGTACATTATGTGCAGTAAATGTCAGTTGGCACGCCCCCAGTTTGGAGAAGCAGGATGGAGTCCGACATGGAATCTAAGCACTCTACTGCTGTGGATGGGTAGCAAGAAAACATATTTAAGCCACTTAAAAAAGTCCCACCCAAAAAAAAAATTAACAATTTAAGTGCACACTATATCAAGAATATTTTCACTGCCTTGCCTTAATGTCAGACAGGGATTTCCAATGGGAAAATAAAGCCGTTCTATTGCTCTCTTCAAAGCCAGACTCCATTTAGAAAAACAGTGATTTTAACATGGCTGAACACAGGAGCTGCTCACTTTAAACAGCTATTTTGCTTGTGTTATCGTGTGACTTTGGCATTTAACAGGGTTAATTTTGATTCACCAAAGTCACACAACACAACAGAACAACACAAACTAACTCACCGATGGAGGCAGTGGTAGACCAGCAGCTAGTGTGTTCAGCAAGCTTAAATGACTCGTTTTGTTAATGGAGTCTGGTGGCTGTAACAAGAGCAGAGGTGGAGAACTGAAGCTGTAAACAGCTTCCCCGTCTGAACAGGTTGTCTGACAGAAAGGAAAAGTGGACTTTCAATATAGCATACACTTAAACTGACCCCTCTCCACAGCAGTATGTTGCTTAGCTTCCATGTTGGACTCCTGCTGCTTCTCCAGTTGGGGTGTGCCAACTGACATCTACTGTATGTAATACACTGGCTATGGATGAGTACCCCATACAGAAAATCCAAACTGTCCCTGAAAAGGTTGAGAAGATTTAAACTTTGAGTGTTGCTGTTTGTGACCTTTGACTATGTGTATGTCATATATCTGGATGTGTGTTTGTCTGTGTCCAGTGAAGCAGCGTGTCGAGCAGCGCCTGGAGCAGATCGGCCGTCCTCAGGGAGTTCGCCTCCACACGGCTCATGTGCTGTGCATGGACGCCATCCTGAACGTAGGTCTGGAGATGGGCAGCCACAACCACGACTGCTGGCCTCATGTCTTCAGGTAAACACACACAAACACAGATATTGCTGTAACATGCTGCACTGATCAGCTTATCTGTTTCGGCCAATTATTACTTAAATTCACAATCTATTGGACTGTGCTCCCCTGTGTGGTGCACGGCGATGCTCGCTGCTACCCAATTTTCACCAGGTCTGTCTTATTAAACAAAAAACCTGGAGTCCATTTGATGTTTGTTTCTTGCTTTCCTCTTTCCAATTATACTATCTGAGTTTATAAAAACTCTAGGGATGATTGGAAGGAGTAGAATTCCCTGTTATGAGTTTGATATTAACATTTTCTTATAGGCTTTGAAAAATACAAAAGCTTTGAGATAGTTTTATATATTTCTACAACAATAGGAAGATTACATTTTCAGGAAGAGAAACAGCACTTTTCTGTTTCACCTCCTTTACCTCCTTATTCTCTCCCTCCCTTTTCGCCCCCACTCTCTCAGGGTGACAGAGTACATCAGTTCACTGGAGCACACCCACTTCAGCGACAGCTCCTCACAGTCCTCCTCTCTGACCACCATCACCCAGCAGAGCCAGCAGCCAGTTGGCGTGGACCTGGGGATGGAGCTGAGCTGCGAGCACAGCCCGGAGGCCTCGGAGCTGGGCCTCAGCCAGCCGGTCATCCAGCCTCTGTCCATCCAGGAGCTGCTGAGGGAGAGCAGCAGAGGCCGCGGTCTGGACCTGAAGAGTGGCAGCCTGATGACTGGGACCAGTGCTGCCAAGGCTGTGTGTACGCTGTCAACACAGGCTGACAGGTACTGATATCACATTGAATAAATACCACAGATTTATCTCTTTAATCATACAAGAGTGAATATTTATTTTAGCCATGGTTCATATATTCATTCATTTGCCATGACTGCTTATCCTGTTGGGGGTCGCGGGGGTTCTGGAGCCTATCCCAGCTGACACTGGGCAAGAGGCAGGGTACACCCTGGACAGGTCACCAGACTATCACAGGGCTGACACATAGCCCTGTTTCCACTGAGCAGTACGGTACGCTTCAGTTCAATTCGGTATGCTTTTTTTCAGTTTCCACTGCAAAAAGTTGTGGATGGTACTAATGGAGCTGTTCTTAACCGTTACCATTTTTGGTACCTCTTCTAGCACACAGACCTGGTACTAAAAGGTAGTGTGCGGAGTTTGTCCTGTCCAGGGTGAACCCTGCCTCTCACCCAGTGTCAGCTGGGATAGGCTTTGCAAATCACCAGTTACTACACACTGAAAGACCTTTAACTACTGCAAAGAGAAATCTAGTTTGGTTAACTAAAGGTACTTAGACAAAGTAGCTCTGACTATTTATAAAAAAAAAAGATCAAATTGACATGTTCAAGTTGATATGAGATTATTTTAACGATAATACAAAAAAGTCACATGCCACTTGTTCACAGGTCATACACACACTAAAAAGTAAAACAATATTTTGTATACAATGTCCACCAGTCAGACACCTGCCTTACAGTAACCAGAGTCCAGGTGGAGGGATTGCACCGAGCAGTATTAGCCAGGTAACTTGTGAAATAGTATAGTAAGCAACGGTTTTCTCAATGTTTTTTAATAAATAGGAACAAACAGTACTCATGACCAATTGTGTTCGAAGCGGTGCATTTACAGTAAAGAAGCAATGTTAAAATAAAAAATAGTGATAGTTATTTTTCCTTTAATGGTCTTAAACTGTTTGTATTTTCAGTAGTAACTACACAAATAGTGCAAATATGTAATTCAACTACATGAATCACAGTGCAAATATGAATGTAGGTTGTTGTGCTACTAGCAAGCTACTGCAACATGTAGTTGAACTACTTTAGTTTAATTACAAGTAGTTCACCTCTCCCCAACACTGCCCATTACAGACATCTCAATCACATCACACAATTTAGATTTTACAACAGTTATTTAATTTGCATTTGTCCTTTAAATGTTCATCTGTTTTCTTTTTTATAAGAGAAAACAGAGGGAGAAATGTGTTTCATCATCAGAAACACACTTTGCAGAGGAGACAAGACTTAACGTACAGACCCAACATGAAGCAACGTCAACAAACCACCTATTTCAGGGCATGTTCTCAGTCATTTTAAAGTCGATATTAAATCTATATTTTTAAATTCAACACATTATATCAGGTTGTTAATGTCAGGCACAAATAAAGGTATTTTTCTACAAATTTTTACTATTAAAGATAATTAAATCAATATAATTGTTAAAAGTAAGTTTTATTAAATTTGAGGAAAATGCAAAAACACAAAACAATACATAAAGCATGTATAGAATAAACACTATCATAAAAACAGTTATATTTACCCCCAACTCTAACAGTCTCTCTAAGTACATCTCAGACTAAATAAAGGATGCACAGTGTGGAGACATGCAGAAATAATTGCTACCTGCTCCCAGCTCAGTGCAGCAACACACTGGTGACACGTCAGCTGTGTCCTTGTTATCAGCTATTTAAATTCGCAGCCAGCATGACGTTGACTCTTGATGAATTTATCTTTCAAAATCTCATTTCCCTGACACTTGGTGCTCGGCAGGAGGTGCTGCAGCCCTGAATAACCTTGACTTTTTATAACAGCCACAAGATGGCAGCAGCAGCACAGAGCCATCTGACTGTGTCACAGTTAAATTGAGAATTAGGTTTAGGTAAATGCAAGAGTCCTCACAAGTACAGATATACAGTTGCGTGTGTATAAGTGTGCGTGCCAACAGTCCTGCACTTATTTAAGTTTGGCACAACCAGGGAATAAACTGTGTTTATTTCAAGGATCATCTCTTATGTAACCAGTTATCTAGGCTGCTTTTAGGAGCAAATAAAAAAAAAATGTTCCCTCTGATCTTTCGTAGCAGATGGACCGAACACATTTACAAGCTGAAAGTGGTGCCAAAACATAGTAAATACTCCTCTGCACGGGGCTGTCCCAAAAACAGCCAGCTTAAAGGGCAACACCGCTGCATTTCTGCCTCAAAGCTTCGTTCCTCTGCACTCTGAATATTCACTGTGGTTTTTAACCTATTCTTTACAAGCTGTTTAGAATCTGTGATCTATTTATTTACATATGTAATGTAGATAGTCACATAGATGTAATGAAACATGTGTGTGTGTGTGTGTGTGTGTGTGTGTGTGTGTCTGTGTTTGTGTGTTCCAGGTTGTTTGAAGAAGCAGCTACGAAGCTGAACCTGGTCGGTCTGGTCGGCTTCCTGCAGCAGCTGAGGAAAGCTTCTCAGTCTCAGCTGTTCGACTCTGTTACTGAGACTGGAGACTATTCACTGGCAATGCCAGGTACACACACAGCCTTCACTTCACTGCCTCACTGAGTACACTCATTACTTAACTTATAACTATGACCTTAGTCGTCACAAGTAACCGTACAGTTTAATGCATTTTGAGATCATCTGGCTCTCAAAACCTGAGGTTTCCGGGTACATTTGTTTGTTGTAGGAAATAACAGTTGATTATTAGTTAAGGAGAAAACTGCGGTGTTATTTTCGTTTCGTTATTTTTAGTTTGAAATGGTCAAAAATGGATCTAATAAACTTGGTTACAACATCAAGTGTGATGGATGACAACAATGCCTACAGAGTTGCAGGCAACACCGTACGTCCATCAGTGTCAATACACAAGGACAAAACATCATCATCTATCTACGCTGCTGTAGTGGTAAGAGAATAATGAAAACTAATATAAATCGAGCCCTTGCTATAGTGGCATTTATGTGTGTCAGAAAAGTGAAGAGGAGGAGGATGTGGATGCGGTTGTGGCTGGTTAAAAGAGGCCAATTTGGCATGCCACTTTTGCAACAAGAGCTTGAAGTGTATTTATTAGCATCTACTAGCATTTAGCATTGTCACGCTGATAAGTGCTTCATTTCATGCTGTATTTCTGTCATTTGGTTAGTAGACGTAGGTCGTAACAGCAGTCACACAGTGAGATGGTCATCCCAAATTTCTGACGGTCAGAATTTTATCCCAGGCTGTCTTTGATCGCAAGACCATTCTTAAATCTTTCACCGTTAAAGAGCCACAACCAAAGATATCGCCACGTTTCTTTCGTGTTGGTCATCTTTTATCTGGAACAACCCAAAATAGCACAGTGTATACTGAGCCTTAAAGGGCTACATGAGGTGAACATAGACGTCTGCTAAAGTGACCATTATTCTAACATTAAACTCAATTAAACCAAAATTGTAATCTATCGAAAGTCAAGAAGTGAAATTAGGGCCTCTTCTTACTTAGTGGCTTTTTTCGTCTCTCTATTTTTTGTTGGCCATTTGGTCCTAATAACGACACAGTCACTAACACAAAGTCCCACACATGTAGGAAACAAAAAAAGACGGGAATAAAGCCCAATCAGAGCCTGATGTCCCCTCTGTGTCTGTAGGAGAAGCCAAGTCGACACTGGAACGACGCAGTGCTCTCCATCTCTTCCGTCTTGGCGAGGGCATGCTGAGGATCGTCAGGAACAAGAACCGACCTCTGCTCCACATGATGAGGGCCTGGAGCGTGGTGGCCCCACATCTGGTGGAGGTAGGGGACTTCAAAGGGAGTGTTGCTGTTGTTAAGTGTCATTTACACTGTTCCAATAACTCAATTTTTGCTCCTCCTAGGCGGCATGTCACAAAGAGCGCCATGTATCCCAGAAGGCCGTTTCCTTCATCCATGATGTTCTGACGGAGGTGCTGACGACCTGGGCGGAGCTTCCACACTTCCACTTTAATGAGGCGCTGTTCAGGCCCTTTGAGCACATCATGCAGCTGGAGCTGTGTGACGAGGACGTACAGGACCAGGTGGAGTCAAACCTCTTAACATCTGTCCTCATTCTTTTATAAGTTAATTGCATCAATCAATAAACAAGCCAATAAGTCAGTCTCCTTTATTCTGCCGTGCAGTTTAGAAGATGTTTCTCTGCTGGTCTCTCTGCAGGTCATCACATCAATAGGCGAGCTGGTGGAGATGTGCTCTCCTCAGATCCTGTCAGGATGGAGGCCTCTGTTCAGCGCTCTAAGGACCGTCCACAGCAACAAGACTGACACCAAAGACTACCTGCTGGGAGAGTACTCCATGGGTACGTCTGACAGCCTCTGTTCCAAACCAATACACATGCAGTTTATTAAAAATAATTCCTGAAGGTTATCATCTGAAAGTTCTGAAAGTTGTCTGTTCCTTCCATCCTCCATGCCCCAATCCTTCTTTCTCGCCTTCCTTAACTCTGTCTTTGCTCCCTTTCCCCTTTGTTTCCCCTTTCTCATCCTTCCGTCCATCCCTCCCTCTCCTTCTCTCCTCCAGGGAAGTCCCAGGCTCCAGTGTTCGATGTCTTTGAGGCCTTTATCAACACTGACAACATCCAAGTTTTTGCAAATGCTGCCACCGACTACATCATGTGTCTCATGAAGTTCGTCAAAGGACTAGGTTTGTCTCACATGTACATGCTATTTTTTTTTTTTTTTTTTTCCATTTTCAAGGGGAGGTGATTTGTATGCATGTAAATTCACTAATTTTCTTTGTGCAGGCTTTTCTAAGGTTTCTGCAAAAACTTCACATTTAATGTTTGATAGGCCAGCGGCAAAACACTGCTTAATCAGTGTTGTGATTTTTGTGATTGTGATTTTTTTTATAATTTTCCCACATTTTTCATCATAAACAAGTCAAAGACTTTGTTTCGTTTGGGTCGGTCGTCACTTTGCACAGTAACAAAAATTATTTATTTACTTATTTATTTATTACCAAATTATTATTTCCTGTGTGGTTGTCTGTCTGCGTGTAGGGGAGGTGGACTATAAGGAGATTGGAGACTGTGTCAATGCATCAGGTTACAGCTCCACTGACCTCTGCCTGCCTGCTCTTGACTATCTCCGCAAATGTTCGCAGGTAGAAACTTCCTATTACGGTTATGCACTTATCAGGGTATTAAATGTAAAAAAACAATTTTCCTGTCATACTTTTAAAACTGAAGACTTTCAAATTAAAAAATTAAAGCTTTTTAATCAGGGATCCTTTGTGCCCCTTTAATATTCCATTGAGAAACTACACCAGTAGCATGTTTTGCTCTGTAGACAGTCCCAGTAACCGACATAATAACACAATCTACAGTATTGTAGACATTGTTTGTGTAAATATTCATTGAGTAGCCACAGAAAGCAGAAGCATACGTGCAGATACTCGTTCCCCTTCTTCCCTCTAACTTAACGAAGTGTTTGATTGACAGCTGTTGGCAAAGATCTACAAGATGCAGTCCAAGCCGGTGTTCCTGGGGGCGCGACTCGCCAGCCTGCCAATGAGATCCCAGGAACGCTCAATCAGCACTGAGGATGGGATGGACTGTGTCCTGCAGGAGTTTGACGATGACACAGGTAAAGTCTTTTCTTTCATCGTCGTCCTCATGAGTTGTTTTTTGCCTTTGTGCTTTCTGATCCTCTGTGTTCCCCTCTAACTCTCCCTCCACTATCTCTCTAACCCCAGCTGTGTGTGGCTGTACTTTCTGCCCTACAGGTCTGATCCAGGTGTGGATTTTGTTGCTGGAGCAGCTCACAGCAGCCGTGTCAAACTGTCCTCGCCAACACCAACCTCCGACGCTGGAGCTGCTCTTCACTCTGCTCAGAGAAGTCACCACCGTGCCAGGTAACTCACAGACACATGTAGAGACATGTGAGGGCTTGAGAGAGTCTGACGGTGTTCACACCCTTGTTAGGTGAACAATGTAGGAAACTTTTACAACATTGTTTCACCATTTTAGGACAACTGAGCAGGACAGTGATCTTAAACACAACTAGAAAAGCACTCAGAGAGTGCAGACCTCTGCCAAGTAGGTGATATTCCCTCCCCCTCTGCATCAGATTGTGCAGCCTGCATCACAATTAGGTTATTTGTATCACTATGCCTTCACCGTGGAGACACTGTGGTGTATTTCTTTCGTTTTTATTTTGTACCAACACAGAATATAATATGTGTTTTTGTATTTTTCACTTTCTTTTTTTCCAACACAGAACATTAATTTCAACTTTAGAATTACAACAATATTTAGCAAGTAGAACAAGACATGCTTTCCGGCCACCAGATGGCGCTATTTTCAGAAATTGGAATTGCTGCTGAGGCTGTCAGACGATTTTTTATTATTTTATCCACTTTTGCTTCAACCGATCACCACCAGAATTCAATATCATCTGTTCCTTGTCCCATTATCCACCTTTTTCATCAAAATCCGTTCATAACTTTTTGAGTTATGTTGCAGACAAACAGACCAACGCCGGCGAAAAAAACATAATCTCCTTGGTGGAGGTAATAACAAGGTAACCATGGAGTGTTTTACAGACAAACTGTGAAATGTTCTTGAATGACCAAATCAGTCACATGACCTCAGTTGAAATGACCTTGTGCCTCATCTGCCGGAGACCAAATTAAAGGGAAACACCCCCCAGAACAATCATCTCAAGCTGTCTCTGCTCAATTTCTGTAGTTTGCTTTGTGAATAAACTGCTATTTGGACAACGCCTCTGTCAACAACAGACAAACATACCTAGCCTTACAGTCTGTGTTTGTGTCTGTTTCTCCTCCCTACAGGTCCAGGGTTCGCCATCTTCTCCGTCATCCAGCTACTGCTTCCTGTGATGTCACTGTGGCTGCAGCGTAGCCACGGCGACCACTCCTACTGGGATGTGGCAGCTGCAAATTTCAAACATGCCATTGGTCTGTGCTGCGAGCTGGTAGTGGAGCACGTCAACAGTTTCATACACTCAGGTGAGACACAACCGTGTGTGTGGTTGGGGGGTGTGTGTTTAAAGGGTTACCTCAGAGTTTTTGGGTGTAACAAAGACAATCACGTCACGTTCCATTTTCCACCCGGTACAATTCAAAGTTGGTACAATCGCCCACCTGGAGCAGGAAGTGTTGCCAGAGTTTGGGGCACAATTATCATGTGAAAGGTTTTTGAAAGTTTAAGCCCTCAGCATTTCTTCAAGTTTCTCTTTCCGACTTAAAGATTCAGTGCTTGTAGTTTCATTGATGGCCTTAATGCAGGATTGAGTAAACAACAGTAAAAACATGTCTTGATGGCTCAACATGTTGGAGAGCTCAGTGTCCCTGAATTACAAAAAAGTTAAACAGACATTACTCCACACAAACCCCAGCTAACTGCCCGACTGGCATTTAAGACAAGCACTGAATGTAGAGTCTGTATTCTTTTTTAAACTCAGAAACACACATCTGTGATAAAATATTCTAAACTCAAACTTGCACAATCACAAATCTGATGACTTTCTGTTTGTCTCATGTACAGTGTGTGTGCTTGTGCAACGAGGGGAAGTAGAGCATGATTGATGACTTGTTGTTCCACTGCCCCCCCCCGCTTAGTCAAATTAAATTGTGGCTGCTCCATCTCTAGCCCGTACGCTAACAGGCTACGTCATGTTGTTGTGTGTGTGTGTGTGTGTGTGTGTGTGTGTTTCTGCCCTCCCTTATTGCAGATATTGGATACGAGTCTCTGATCAACCTGATGTTGAAGGATCTGTTCAAGCTTCTGGTGGCTTGTGTGTCTGAGCCTGCAGAGACCATCTCCAGAGTGGGCTGCTCCTGCATCAGGTGACAGCACATAACTCCTTGTGTCCTCTGGGAGTCAATGATAAATCAGTCACCACAGTGAAATACATGTCGAAACAGAGACACTTCTCTATTTCTGTGTGTTCCATAGATCACGGATTTCAGTAGCTGAAATAGCTGCTGCTACAAAAGGAGAAAGAAGAACACATGATGTTGCTGATTGCATCATACAAAATTATTTGATTTTGAATTGCAATAGGACTCTTTGATTTTTGAAAAAAAATTGCATTTAGATAATATCCCTGAATTGTTCAGCCCTAGTTTGAGCTGGTAGAGTTGAGTAAGTCTAAGAAGAATTCTTTGCTGTCTTTAAGAATAGGGCCTAAGGCCAAAACACACCGACGGCAAATGCCACGTGTCATACTTCACACCACTGTCCTAGTCCCAGCCTTGCATTTTTTTTTCCCCACTCGCTCTCTGCTTGTACCTACTAGCAGCTCTTTTCCAGCTCCTGCACCTATGGCAGCTCAGCTCCTCTCCATACCATCGTGGTATAAAGAGAACTCTGTTGCTGTTGCTGTGTCTCGTGTGTGACAAAGACTGGATGAGGAGAGATTTGTTGCTGAGGTTGAGAAATATCCCGAGCGAAATGACCCACAGTCCTGTCATTATAGATTCAGTGGTCAAAAAGATATTGCCTGGCGAGTCATAGCTGTGGAGATTGGCTCTTCAGGTGAGACACAAGTTTAACTAGGGGCTGTCAACACAGCGCAATGCAAGGGTGGAGGAAGTTCAGATCTTTCAGTAAGAGTTGTAAAAGTTTGCATGGTCGTCTTTTTACAAGCTGCGACGCATCCAGTGTGTGCTAGAGGTAGCACTTGATGCGGGTCTTATGACAAGCCACACCACAACAGCGACTCTACGTTTTCAGCTCTATTCTATTCCCTCCTATTGAGCCGATGAAAATACCAAAAAACAATCCAACAACCCTACATACACCATCCTGTTGTCTGAAATACTCACTATAGCACCAAATGTGGATTAATCCGCTGCTGAAAATAGTCCCCAACATAATCACTTTTTCCTCTTGTTTGATAAACATGTGCTGAAAACTACAGTGCCCAGCTGTCTTCTGAAATTACTGAGAGAAACTAAAAATATCTCACATACATATATGAAGATTTACATCCTCAGTAGAAACCACTGGGTTAGAGACTAAGCGCCACAGAGATAGATGGACTCACATAGTAGTTTTGGTATTTTTGGGAGGACTTGTTTACAGTAACAAAAATAAAAAACAATCCCAGTCCTATGTTTAATCTGTCACAAAGTAGTCACAAAGTAGATACAGGCAAAGATAGAACTGTCTCTGTCTCATCTAAACACTGTTGTTTATCTTGTTGTCCGTCTTTCTCCAGGTATATTTTGGTCACAGTGGGTCCAGTGTTCACAGAGGAAATGTGGCGGTTGGCCTGCTGTGCTCTGCAGGATGCTTTTTCTGCTACATTAGAGCCTGTCAAGGTACACACACACACACACACACACACACACACACACACACAAATTGCATAGAAATACTAGTGGCGTATTACATGGCTTACGTGCTCTCACGTCACCCCTCAGCAGACACAGGAATGTAAACAGGAAGGAGAAATATACAGATAAGAAAATTAACAGATATACACATAAAGAAACTCAACAGGCCAGTCCACTGTAGTAAACCACATAATCCATCCCCAATCTGAAACTGCTGGTTGGGACAGAAGTAATCTGAAAGCCTTTGCTGCTAATACTGTCAACATGCTGACACTCCACGTTAAGCTTGATAACCCCAGTTAACCTCACACACACACAAACACGCCGACAGAGCCCTGCAGCTGTGAGCAACAACTGTTTGTTTCCTCACTGCGTTGGGGTTTTATTCTGTTCCATCGTCTCTTTTCTCCGTTAAACTGATTAAAAGAAAATGCTGCTTCAAAGCTGTCGTACGTTCTGCTGTTAATTCAAATCCTTTTGTGATGAGTACAGCTGTGGGTTTAACATACTGGAGTTGCCACCTGAGTTTTGTTTACAAAGCTTGACTTGGAGGTATACAACTTTTTTTCCATTAAGCCCCTTTTTATTTCACAAAAAAATATGTTTCTCAAATGTGTAAACATAACAGCAAAATAGATTTTAGACTATTTAACTCTTACCCATCCATCCATGTTCATCAGCTTGTCTGTGGCCGGGTCACAGGGGCAGCAGGCCGAGCAAAGCCTAGATGTCCCTCTCCCCAGGTATGCTTTCCAGCTCCTCCTGGTGGACCCCAAGGCGCCAGGCCAGACGAGATATATAATCCCTCCAGTGTGTTCTGGATCTGCCCCGGGGCCTCCTACCAGTGGGACATGCCTGTAGCACCTCTAATGGGAGGCGTCAAAGAGGCATCCTGGTCAGATGACCAAAACAGCTGACCCCTTTTGACATGAAGGAGCAGCAGCTCTACTCCAAGCTTCCTCCGGATGTCCGAGATCCTTACTCTATCTCTAAGGCTGAGCCCAGCCACCCCACGGAGGAAACTCATTTCAGCCAGTTGTATCCGTGACCTCATTCCGTGAGGGTTGGGACGTTCACCACGATGGTACAGCACAGCACCCACATCACTGCAGACACCGTTCCAAACCACTGACCCATCTCATGCTCTATTCTACTCTCACACGTGAACAAGACCCCTGAGATACTTGCACTCCCTCGCTTAAGGCAGTAACTCCCTCCCAACCCAGAGGGAGCAATCCACCGGTTTCCACCAGAGAACCATGGCCTCAGACTTGGAGGTGCTGACTCTCATATCAAACTCAGAAGCTGAGTTTTTGACAGGCTCAGTATGGGACATACATATGTTATTCTTTCCAGGGTACTGGACAACACAGAACAGTTTTAATAGGCTCCCACTGGTCCCAGGGGAGACGCCCCTTCCTCTCGATCTCCACTCATTCTACCAAACTACATTTCAAAGATACCTTTTTCACCCGTGCACCAACCTGTTCTTTCAGTTCTGGTGCCTTTGTTTTCTCCCAGTGTCTCAAAATAACTTGACAGACTGTTACTATCCCAACAGTAATAACAGAAAAGGCACACTTGGGTATGTTTGGTATTTGGGACTGGTCCCCCAGTAAACATAACTTTGGAATCAAAGAGGTTTTTGAACCAAACCAACTACTTAAATACGTTGTATACCTGGATCCATTACTCACTCAGAATGAGATTGCGGATACAAGCGGCATAAATGAGTTGTGTGTGGGGTGTCTGGGCTCAGCCTTAGAGATAGGATGAAGAGCACTGACATCCTGAGGGAGCTCGTGGTAGAGCTGCTGCTCCTTGAGTGGTTCAGGCATCTGATCAGGATGCCTCCTGTGCTCCTCCCGTTAGAGGTGTTCTGGGCATGTCCCACTGGTAGGAGGCCCTGGGGTAGAACCAGAACATGATGGAGGGATTACATATCTTGTCTGACCTGGGAACGCCTTTGGGTCCCCCAGGAGGAGCTGGAAAGCGCCACTGGGGAGAGGGATGTCTAGGGTGCTTTGCCCTGTGACCCAGCTCAGAAAAAGCAGACAAAAATGGAATGGAATGGAGCCAGCACTTAACAATGACTGAACAACTGTTGGTTTATTCATACTTATCAATTCTGAATATTTTAAACAGTTTTAATACTCATTTTCTGCAGTATCAATACTCCAGTACCAGCTGCCTCTTGTTGTGCCCTCTTGATATACGTGTTTACTACAGTCATTCAGCTGTCATTGTCATGTTACAACCTTGTTTATCTTTCAATGAAAAAAATTTACCTCGTATTCTCTCAATGTCAAATTTTCCCCATGGTATTGTATCAAAGTTAGAAATTCCAGTATGGTTACGGCGCTACTCTGCACTGCATACATTTCAGTATTGCTCAGAAAGATTCAGTATTGGGTTTTAGTGTGTGAGTGTGTGTGTACAGTTTAGCTGTTGGGTTAAAAACTTGCTGAGTTATACTGTCTGGGAAATTTTACAGCCGGCCCAGCTTTACAGGAAAACAGGAGACCGTGTTAATTTGTTAATGGTGCTACCTGCTGCGTTTTAGTCCTGTGGGAGATCACAGATTTAGAGAGTACACCCTGAGCTGGAATCCAACCCCTGCTGTTCCATTTCAGCTGTGTGTGTGTGTGTGTGTGTGTGTGTGTGTGTGTGTGTTCAGTAGAGGTGACATCGGCAGGCATTTTTTTGGTGGCTGTGGTGTGTTCCTGCAGTTCTGTGGCAGCTGACTGCAGATAAGCAGCTTTACAGCTTAGAGCCACATCTTTGTGTTTGTGTGTGTGTGTGTGTGTGTGTGTGTTTCAGTGAGAGAGATGATGATGATGATGATCTTACCACCACTGACAGATTTTCTTTGCTCATTTCTAGAAGATTTGATTTTGAGGACTGAAACAGACCAAATGAGTTGTCTATAAATTTGCTGGTTTATGTTCTTAGTGTTGTAGCAAAGTGTTTGAAGTAAAAAAAAGAAGAAATGTTTGGTCCGTTTTCGATTCTTTCTTCTTAGTGAAGCAGTTTGTGGTGGATTTTATCGTACAGATGAGCAACTGCGTCACAGGTTATTAGAAAAACTCTTGAGTTTATCTCCACAGTGCATTGGGAGTTTGCAGGCTTAAAACTCTCAGTTTAATATATAAAATCTATAGCTTAGCATGCTCTTAGCCACATTGACGGACATGCAGTCATTTTGTTTATGTAACAGCTTTTGTGACTGTGTTGCATGTTGGGGATAATGGTTTTGTTTTATGTGGCACATCATATTTATTTAGATCTTATGTATGCCGTTTATATAAGAGCCTTGGTCCTCCAGTGGCATGTCATATGCTTTAAAGCTGTAATTATAAATTGAGCTGTAACTTTGAGTGGTTTGTTGGGCAGTTTTTCATGCGTTACATGTGTGTAGATACATGACATTACAAGTCTAATTGTAAAATGGGACATATGGAAGCAGTTAGGTTACGTTTCTTACTGCTTTTTGATGATGCTCTTGAGTTATTCGTGTTTGGTTTAACTTAAATTTTCTGAACTTCAGGGTCAGTGCGTCGTATGATTACAGAGTTATGGGAGATTTATTTTACTGAATTATTTAAATGTATGCATGATTCATAATTAAGAAGAAGATACATTTAAATGGGTTTTTAAAATGTCGAAATGTCGTATTTTTCATGATCCATGTGGGTGTCCCTCCAGTATTTTGCTCCGTCACAAGTTGATAAAATATTTTAAATGAAAAGTTTTTGTTTTGGTTTGGTTTTTTTAATCATTATTCGGGGGAAACCGCCATAATTCAAATCCCTGCTCTGCCCTATATGTGCATTTTTTATACTAAGAAAAACAGTCTTTGTATCTTTTTCATTTCTTTGTGTCCAGTTACCAACATATCACAGTTACTCTCTCAAGAAAATCTAGAATTGTCAGAGGAAATGCATGAATTAAAAATATGTTGATATGCAATATATGGACAACTGCATTAAATATGCTAAGGGATTTTGTTTTAAATACTTGGGTGTAAAATAAAAAAGAAGAAGAAGAAGAATGTTTGTAGGCCACTGGCAGCCCTTACCATAAAGCTTACCCTATGGCATGCAGACGTCAATCCTTAACATGTAGCTTATGCTTTCACACACATCAACATGCGACCTCTGACTGGGCTTATAGAAAAGCTGAATTTTTTTTAAGCACTGCATTGAGGTCACATCAGATATAATGTATATACTGTATTAAACTGAGTAATACTTTGGGTTTATCGGGGGGGGGGGGGGGTTCCATCTGCTTGCGACGCATGTAGTTTAGTGATGGATTCACCAGCTTTCACCTTTTTACCTGAGACTGTGTAGAAAAATGTTATGTAGCAGGGTTTTCCCTGAGTTTTTTTGAGACCAAGGTGGCAGAGGCCTGTGGCGGGGGGCATCTTGACAGCTGTACTTTTAGATACGTTCCCCCCTCTATTAAATATGAAAGGAGGCCCCCACATGCTTGAGCTTTACACTGCTGACTTGTATAATCAGAACAGACATGTCCCGTGATTTTCAGCCTTATATGATTATAATTACCCTTTACAGCAGGCACATCCTGACAGCTGAGAATATGACTGTCAGGTATTGTCCCCCCTCTATTAAATATGAAAGGAGGCTGAAAATCACAGGACATGTCTGTTCTGATGATACAAGTCAGCAGTCCTGAAATGTGTGTTTCTCTTCTATAATACACATTCTACATCTCGGAGGCGATGTCTTTCCACATACGGGCTTCCTTCGCCTTTCAAATGGGGCAGAGCTCCGTAGGAAACAGTAGGAGAGACACAGCCCGAGGGGGAACCGGGATCTGACACAACACCGGAGGGAGAAGCAGGTCCGTGGAGCTGTGCGCCGGACAAAAGTAATGGGTTTGTGCGCGCAAAAGAGGCTACATCTGAACGCCCCCCCATGCACACACGCTTTAACCAAGGCGGCGGCCAAAATCACCCAGGTGGCCCGCCTTTGTCTTAGATAGGCAAAGAAAACCCTGTGTAGGCTATATGTATTACGAAAACAGGGGTTTGCATCACGCATAAAAGTTCCTGTGTACTGCAGGTATTGGGACTGTTCTTTTCCATAGTGTATTCAAGTCAAGTATGTTTGAGTGAGACTCATCAACATCCAGCAACAGATGCAGGAGGAACTGCCTGTTGACGTCTTTCTCTCTTGCTCTGTGTCTCTCCGTAGAACCTCCTCGCGTGTTTTCATAGCGGTTCGGACAGTTTCTCTGGGGACGCCTGTGAGGTGAAGGTGGCAGCTCCGTCTCACTCTCCTTCAGCCGAGGCCGAGTATTGGAGGATCAAGGCAATGGCTCAGCAGGTCAGTAATGACTTTAATACTGTGTGATAACCCCGACAAGTGTCTTTCATGTGCTGTTGGGACAGTGAAGAGGTCCAGCTATGTTCAAGTCCATTTATGTATTTGCATGTTCGTTGCTGCTTCACTCTTGAGTGTTTTAACCATAAAGGTAGATACCAATCTTTATTGTTTCCCTTAAACAACGGTGGGACAAAAAATAAACTCTCAGGAAACAAATGAGCCTGAGAGTTCAGGAATTAACAGTAATAAGGTCAAACATCCCCTGTTTGCTTTTCAATCCGTTCACATTTTTAACAATCGAGTGCCTTATCTTAATGTCCTCTGTGTCCCAGGTCTTTATGTTGGACACCCAGTGCTCTCCAAAGACGCCCAACAACAAGGAGGGCTTTGAGCACGCTCAGTCCTGCGTTCTCATCATCGAGCTGCCATCTGACCAACAATCCAACGGACACACTCAGAAGAGGTAGACAACACTCACACGAACAAACACACTGAAGCATGTTTCCCTCCACATGTGATGATAATTAACCAACAGAGTTTCATTTTCTAACCTCGCACCCAAACTAAAACTACATTCCTCTGCTCCTGACCCCAAAATACAGTCTACCCAAACTCTAACCAATAGGATTCATGTTGGTATTTTGTCACTGGGCTCATTGGTTTTCCTTTTAGTGAGGATTTCAAGTCACAAACAGTGAACACTGTCAGTGCTTGTGAGTTCAAAAACACACAATACCCCAAAGCTCTTCTGTCCTTCTTGAACTCCTGCTGTATTTGTGACTTGCTGAATCATTCTTATCATGTCAAGATAAGATAAGATAAAGAAGAAGGAGAGAAACGCAAAAATCTGAGTGATAATAGCAATAAAATGATAATAACAGTTTCAGTGTTAGTGGCGGGGGAGAATTGGATGTTGGGAGAAAGAGAGTTTTGGGGCAGCGACAGAGAAAGCCCTGTCCTCATAACACTTAGTCCTTGTTTCAGGATGGACCGTAGTCCTTGGTCAGATGATCTCAGTTCTCTCACAGTGTGATACAGTAAGAGGAGCTCTATGATGTAAGAGGGGCGAGGCTGTTTAATACTTCGTAGACAAACATCTTTATTTTAAAGTATATCCTGTAGCTAGCAGGCAGCCAGTGGAGGGAGGCAAGAATGGAGGTAATGTGCCCCCTCTTTTTTGACCTTGTTAAAACTCTTGCTGCTATATTATGGACTAGTTGAAGACTGGATAAACAAGACTGAGTAAAACCAAAATATAATGAGTTGCAGTAGTCGAGGTGGGAGGAAATGAAGACGTAGATAACCTTCTCCATGTCAGAAATGCAGAGAATTGATTTGAGTTTGGAGATTGTGCGCAACTGCGTAAAAAACTTCAATTCAGAAATATGACTCCCAGATTTTTAACATGATATTTGACAGAGGGGGCCAATGGGCTAAGGTGAGGAGAAATAATGCAATAATAAAGACTTTTAATTTTAAGTTAGGATGTGAAGAGATCATGCATTGTACTGATGACACACGGAAAGTCAAATGTATTTTAATATGTTTCAAAAGCAAATTTTTAAATATTTGCATTGGGGTGGGAATCAACAGACGGCCCCTGATATTATTATAGTATTATATATAGTATTGTTGTAACATATATTACAATATATTGCGATTTATTACCTTTTGTCAAATATAAATTCAGGACAAACTTTGTCAACATTAGTTTTCACTCTGTTCGTCTTACTTTAATCATTTTTATTGCAGCAAAATATATATTTAGTTGACTGTAAAAGCAAATATTTTTATTTTTTGAGTTGGCTACCAAAAGTTTAATTTGTATTTGCAATGTTAATAATTTATATGATAAATATTGATACCTCACATCTGTGTATCAGTACAATATTGCCATGCAAATTATCACAATACTATGTTGTATCGATTTTTTTCGACCACCCGATACGTGTTCTGTTTTGCCTTTTGTGTACCTGTGTAGCCAAGACTTCAGCAGTCGGCCACAACATGTGATGAAACACAGCTACTGTTGCACTGTGTTTTTCCAACACGCAGCATGAAAGCACATTTTGTCTTGTCTTCCTCATCCAACGTGTCCAGCTCATTAGCTAACAGCTGTTTTGGAGACTTGTGTTTTTTTATTGGAAATATTGCATGGAGTACAGAACTGTGTTGTTTTCTCTGACAGGAATGCTGCCGGATTAACTTAAATCTAACCTCCACTAACTGTCTTTGCCTTTTTTGTTGTTTGTTTGTTTTTGCTGCTGTGGTTACAGGAAAATTGGGTAAGGCTGTTTTCTGTGACGTTGTCAGTTTTAACAGTGTGAAAAATGTCAACATACAGTCAGGCCCTGCTTGGGTCTGTGTGATCTCCACAGTCAAACTAACGTAACAACGTGTAGAGCTGCACAATGTGGAGTGTGTGTTGGATATTGGTGCCATGAGATAAATCCTGAACATGAGGTCGGATTTTCTGTGTAATTATATAAAAACGAGTTTAAAATCATGTTTAATTTAACAGATAATGAAATGATATGAAATATGAAATTATATTTTCAATGTGCATCCTGTGTTTTGACAGCACAGCCTTTTGTTATAGGTTTAACATGGAATTTCGCACTAGTGTAGTTGTACAGTATGATACATTGTGCAGCTCTGTCCACATGCAACACATTACTCATATGCTGTGTGTGCCACATGTAGCTCCTTGTCCCGTGCATGACATATGATCCCTGCTGTCATGTGTGTAAGTTTGTTGTTCCCTTGGTGTGTCAGTATGTAATGCTTACCCTATCATGCCAAACAGTATAGCTGTAAATCTGAGTTCCTCTTATATAAAGTCAAGGGAAATAAAGTCTTCTCCCACAAACACACTGATGATTTTATAGCTGCTAGTCTGTCTCTTATCTAATACAAATCAGAGAGTCCTCATTGGTCCAAAAGAAATTAATGAAAGCTCATTCTTCATTAAAGCCTTTTTGTTTTTGACTATTTGAAAGTTGTTAGCCCCTCTAGAAATTCAGTATGCACTAAAGCCGCTGAACAGTAGCTATTGCATTGGTTTATAACAGCCTAGTTTCAGTACAACATTGTTTATTTCTTAGTTGAGCAAAGAGATTGTCCTTATTTATAAAATAAAAACTTAATAAATGTGATTTGACCGGCGTCCTGGTTATTTTAAATCCTTCAGGATCCCATTCCGGACCATCGTGGTGAGCCTGCTGTCCCACCAGGTCCTGCTCCAGAACCTCTATGACATCCTGCTGGAGGAGTTCGTCAAGCAGCCCGAAGGAAACGAAAGGGTCACACCTGTGACCTCTGACCCCAGCCGGGCCACAGCAGGCTTCCTGCGCTACATCTCCATGACTAATTTAGCCATAATTCTGGATCTGCTGCTGGATTCCTACAGGTCACTGCAACAATAAAGTCAGGCATATATGCAGATGACAGTATCATATGGATCTGTAATCCTGCTAGTTTCAGGAATACAAACTAAGAGAGTCGGATAATAAAATTAACTGGACTAATGTTAATCATCTTTACACACAGTTCAATGGTGTTCATTATGTCTTCAGTTTCTGATAATGAGGTTAGTTGTTCTTGTATCTCAGACATGTGTTAGGATGTTACATACCTTGACATGTTCGGCGGAAACTTCCGCCTTCCTCATCCTGTCACTTTTGACAAGATGATCACGCCTCCCTAATATCAGCTGATTGACAGATCAGCTGATAATGACACGTCACAACCACCACCAAGTGACACTTCTGAGGAAGGCGGAAGTTTAGGGAGGCGTAACCATCCTGTCACTTTTGACAGGATGATCATGCTTCCCTAATATCAGCTGATTGACAAATCAGCCTAACACATGTCTGAGATAAAAGAACAGCTTAAGTCATTATCTTTACACACAGTTGCTTAATCTCCTGTTATTTTCTTCTGCAGGACGGCACGGGACTTTGACACTCGGCCAGGTCTGAAGTACCTGCTGATGAAGGTGTCGGGTGTTTGTGGAGCGGCTAATCTTTACCGTCAGTCTGCCATGAGCTTCAATCTGTACTTCCAGGCCCTGCTGTGTGCCACGCTGAGCCAAGCTGACAGCATGACTGCACAGCAGGTAGAAACCAATCAAAACTCTTTAGTCTGTTTTATTCAATGTTGAAGTCCAAGTTTTAATTAAAAGCTACACTAAACATTCTTTATACTAACAATGGATTTGAGTGAAAGGGTTAGAGATGAGTGCCTGATTTGATGTCTAGCACCAGATTTAAAATGTATTTTCAGTTCTACCTTTGTGTTTTTGATAGGTGTCACGAAGTTCATAGCAGGTATTTTTATATTTGAAACAATTGCATTACTAAAATAATACATTAAAACTCATTCATTCATTTATTTGATTACATTTTTTAATCTAATAATGTGCACACCGTAGCAATGTGTTGGCATCCATCTGTTGAGGACGTAGCAGTCATATCTTAACATTTTAGCAACCATCTATAAAACATGATAATCATGTTGAGTAGCGACACAGCTGCCACTTTGAAGGTGCAGCTACTAACAAATCATTAGCAATCAATACTCTGTTTCACGTTTGAACCTTTCATCATATTTAGGTGAAGAGGATGCTGTATGAGGAAGAGGAGGGGAGCTCTGACTCTTCTCACCCTGGCTCTGCTTCTTCAGAGGATGAAGACATCTTTGAAGAGACAGCACAGGTAATGCACACACAGAAACACACACACACCTTCTGTTTTGTAGTAATCACTCGTAACAAAGAATAATGAAGTTTTTACAGTGATGATTGAACTTATTCTCAGTTTGAAAGAAAGGTAGAAACATGAACTTTGATTTGAAATGAAAAACAGAAGAACTGTTTAATAAGTATGAGCAGTGACGGCCACAAAAAAAGAAAATAGAGCAGGTGCACATAGAGGTCACAGTGATTGACAGGTGACCACTGAAACAAACAAAAAACAACAACAACACAAAAGATTTGCCAGGATTAGTCTTCCTGCTGCTCTCTTTTCCGTGAGTAATTTCCCCTTTAGTTTGTGTCAGTTTATCTAGGACAGTCCTCAGAGGGTTTCCTGAACTTTTCAACCTCCTATTGTAACAAGGGAGATGAATCACTCATCTTGTTGTGATAACAAAATATTCACCTTACCCTGTGTTTCCTCCGTCAGGTCAGTCCCCCTCGCGGACGGGATAAACGTCATCACTGGCGAGCTCCGATCCCGTCTCTCAGCGTGCAGCCGCTGAGCAGCGCAGACTGGGCCTGGCTGGTCAAACGCCTCTACAAGCTGTGCATGGATCTGTGCAACAGCTACATTCAAATGCACCGAGACCTGGAGAGCACTCTGGAGGAGACGGCGTTGCTGAGAGGAGTAGGGGGAGGACCAGGAGGAGATCACGTCTTCTTCCTGCCTCTCTTCCAGTCGGAGACGTCCACCCCGACGTCAGCAGGCGGGCTGTCGGCGAGGGGAACGCCATCAGAGGAAGGCGGGTACAGGTGTCAGGCTGCGGACAGCGCAGCATCGCCAGGAGAAACACCCACACCCAGCCCAGGATTCAGGTTTGACTTGAAAAAATGTCAATGTGAAATGTTGCACATATTCTACACAAGATACATCCCGCATCCTTCTGACGTACCCGAGGTGCTGTCTCCACCCTCATATCAGTGCTAGATAACTCATTCTATCAAATTAAAGTGACCATTTCTTCTCTCTTCACAGCTGCACAGGCAGTCTGCCCCACCACTTTCGCACCGGTGGTGAGAGGAGGGACTCCAGCCTCACAGCAAGCTCAGTCGGAGGAGCTTCTGTCAGCGCTGGACCGGGAAGGAGAAAGGAATGGTGGGAAAGCGCCGGGAACAAACTGTACACGATCGCCACGGACAAAACCATCAGCAAGCTGATGATGGAGTACAAACGCAGGAAACAGCAGCAGCAGCAGCAGCAGCAGAGCCACGTCAACCTGTTCATGAAGGAGCAGGGCCGGGCGACGGCAGCAGGAGGGGGAGGAGGCATGGAGGAGAGGAGGGGCCCCGTGGAGCCACAAAGGCCCCCGCAGAGGCCACAACATCTGGTGGACCAGCAGTGCCCCCCCTTGAGGCACTCTGTCAGTGCGGGACCAGAGATTCTGAGGCAGGAGAAGAGACCACGGTCAGGATCCACCATCAGCTCCCAGAGCATCTCGCTGAGGGACTCTGAGGCTCAGATACAGGTACAGTGAGCAGGGAGCTAGAATACACAACAAATTCAATCAAGTTCACATGTGCAGTCATGCAAATGTGTATATGTGTAAACATCACCTTGTGTTTCCAGCTTAGTCGTTGAAATAGTTTCTCTCCCCTCGCAGGCGTGGACCAACATGGTCCTGACTCTCCTCAATCAGGTCCTCCTCCTGTCAGATTCCTCGTTCCTGGCGCTCCAGCCGGCGCTCTACCCCTGCCTCAGCCAGCTCTCCTGCCACGTGACCGACGCCCGGGTCCGCCAGGCGCTGCGCGAGTGGCTGGGCCGCGTCGGCAGACTCTATGACATCATCGTGTGACATTGCAAGCGAAGAAATGTGATAGCGCCGGACAAGGAGCGCAGTCTGTCAGTCAGTGAAGGACGTAAACAGGTGAAAGGTTGTTTAGATTGGGTTGATTTCATCGCGTGACAGCGCCGCTGTGCGGGAAATTCATGAAGGGTAGATTAGCTGACACTACGATGCAAAGGCACACTGTGACATCATTATGTCACATGGAATGAGCTCAACTTATTGATGAGAAAACTGATGTCAACATATATTTGTATACACACTTTTAATAAGCATTGGGGAACATAACTGACATTAAAGGGGCTGTATGTGACATTCAGAACATTAATAAAGCAGCAAACCAGTATTTGTCATGCACAGATATAGCTGAGTAATAGCGTCCTGACCAGAGAATGAAGTCACCCAAGCTTCTCTGTTTGTTGCTGTGGTAGACGGTCCGGCCGTGACTGCATGTTAGTGCATGTGAGTCCCACTGGCTAGCTAATCGCTGCCACTCTGCACCGCACTCGTGCGACACTTACCGCTGAAATAAGGACGTTGTCACAGTAGCTTAGCGCCAGCCTTCTGGCTCCCACCTGTTTATGGAGTTAGCACCGTTTGCTGCTAGCCACCTGCTACACCACCTCCATGTTGAGAACTGTGTAGAGACAATCCCGCCCAAGACTCCGAATCATAGATATGCTCTGAATGTCGCACACAGCTCAGGATTTGATTGGCCGATTAAAGATGCAGTAAGAAGAATGACGGATTTATCTGGTTAATGAAGGATTCTTTGTGTTTAACGGACATTATTCTGAAAAGTGAATGTGCCAGTGCTGCCTCTAGTTTAAGTTGTTCATTTACATACACACACACACACACACACACACTGTGTCAAAGATTTTAGATATAGATAACTGATTTGCAGAATTGCTCACTATTTTGTTGCAGTATTGTATTATCGTCACATTAAGCATCCACTACAGTGATAAATAATTACAGTGAATTATTGCTTCATCCTTAAGTGGATGCAGACATAAATGTGAACATAAACGATGCTTATTGTAGTTCACTTGCATACTTTTCCTTTGAGCGCATCGGCACTTACTAAAGGGAGTCTTCTCGTAAAGAAACTGCTATGTTTACACTCAGAGCATTATGAAGTTTCTTATCACACTACTGTCAACAATGGTTTGTAAGTTCAGTTACATGAAATGAGATCCTTCAGTTTGATGTTTCAGCTGTTAAACATCTGCATGCTTTACGGCTTCCATACACTAAACAATTGCATCGCTGCCTTCTGCAGTCAACAGGAATGTGTATTATGTCACCTTTGTGCATGTGTGCATACGTACAAGTGCTACTCGAGCATGACATTCAAACAAAACAGAGACTCTCTCATTGAAAACATCGCTCAATAGCACCACAAGTGGTCAAAACCTCTACGGGGTACCTCTAAGGATTTTCTTCTGACAACATGGGGCCATTGTTACTACTGGTTATGAGAATAATGGTGAATACTGTGGGTGACCTACCAAGTCACTTCCTTACCTGACCACATATAGGGGGACGTATACTATGTCTCAGTCCTGCCTCAGCTCATCTATGAGAAACGTTGTGTATGAACACCACAGAGACAGATCACTAGCATAAACCAGCTGAAACGAGGTCGACGGGTTTAAAGTTGAAAATGCAAACTTTAGGTTAGGTAAAGGTTTACTATGCAGGAATTGCCGGTTACTGATTGTAAACAGTATTGCCAATGAAAGTAAAAGCCAACCAGCAGAGTCATTTTAGTTTGCTATATTTGTGTTTTTCTGCGCTGTGTCTGCAATTTTTGTAGCTTCCTCTTGGATGCATGCTGCTTACAGTTTGGTTACTACCTTTTTGTAAAGTCCCAACCTCCATACAGGCAGAGGGCAGGGTCTCTCAAATAAATACATCACCACAAACTCAGTAGGTCATACTGGTAGTGATGATTGAGAGACTTTTGTATGAGTCAATACATTGTGTTCTAGGAAAATCCTGCATAATATAGCCTGACTTTAAAATGTTATTTTATGTGTTTATTTAGTTTATTTTCTCATAATCAGAGAATGTGCTGCCATTACATCTGCTGGTGACGTGTTTCGCAGTCGATCCGATTGTATGTTTGTTTGCTGCTGCCATACATTTCCTATATCCAGCTTTGAATACCGTGCACTCATTCACCTTCAACTAAATATTAAACCTCCTAGAATGAGTCTTAACCAGAGTGGAGCAATCAAGTATTTATTTTAACCACATATCACATACAGAATATGTATTTTAATGTTGAATGCCAGTGCTATATTACATTTTATTTTTGCTGTTTATGTGTATTTATATCATTTATTGTTTAAAATATTTAATGTGTCATATTGAGCATTTTCTGTTTTTTGAGTTCATATTTCACCTGTTGATGCAATATGTGCTTATACTAACTAACTGACATGAGCAAGGCTGCTGGTGTTAGATATGTGTCTGGGTTTAGGTAGATTGGTGTGTTAGTATTCACAAGGTTTTACATCAAAGCCACGTCTAGCAACTACTGTAATAATGTCACTGTTCTTAAGACCGGCGCATTAAGTTAAAGCACTTAAAACTCAGTAAACCTCAAGAAATGCATCATGTGTTCACAACATCATAATCCATATGCCGTACTCAGTCACTAAATATCCTCCTTCATTTGTAAGCCAGTCAAAAGACGGCCAAATACAGCGTTTACACACAAGTAACACACAGTTAACAGTTTACACAGTTTCTCCTCTTTTGGTCAAAATCAAAAAGTAAGAATCCCCATCTAAATTTCTCAAAGCCCCAAACCATGTCTATAGATGTCTTCTTTTGTTCGACCAGTAGTCCAGAACACAAATATATTCAATGTACAATGAGACAGAGACAATTAATGAGTTAACAAATACTGCTGGTTTGGTTTATTTAAGACAAGCAGATCTCCAATATTTCCTGTGCACAGTCTTGCTCCACAGAGGATGAACCATTCTGGATTTCAATGGCAACTTCCTATAGCACCACCCTCAGAGTAAACGTCACATTTTCAACCCTAGTTATGTAGTAAAGCTCTGTGGACAGCAGCAAAGTCATAAGTAAGTTATCCATTCTGTCCTTTTTCTTACTCAATGAACTTGACATTGAGACAATCAATCTTTAACTGTAGGCTACCAATAGGAGTGCAGGTATGTGCAGTCTCCAAAGAATAACGTCACTGCTCTTACCTGGATCACAGTAATGTTATTATGTATGCTTGGACCACAGAAAACAAACAAGTGTAGAAAATGTAAAAAAAAAAAAAAAAAAAAAAAAAACAAAACTCATCAAACATCACATGACACAACTCAACCAGTGAGCTGAGTCTGTACTGACCTCCATTCATGCTACTGTGCATTTTAGGACAGATTATGACTGAATGAATGAAAGAGGAGCGTGTTGAGAGTGTTGCAAGCTTCAGCAGCCTGGACCATATTGAGGGCAGGCATGCAGGCAGGTCAGGGAGGGAGGGAGGGAGGGAGGGGCATCTGAAGCTCCTAAGAAGATTTGCTTTTCTTTTTTTCACCCAGTTTATCAACTTCTGTGAGTTTGTCTCTTCATCTGCACTCATTGCTCTCTCCTCAACAGCTTCCTCACTTCCTCTGCTGCTTACTGTCTTATTTATTGCTGGCTTTCTTTTTGTGAATGAAGCTCCAAAGCCACCCAAGTGGCCCCTAAAAACAACCTGATTCTGGAAATATCACCAGAGCACTTATACCATTATAAACCTGTAGGGAGATAGTGAAAAGATGTAGGCCAGTTGAGGCCAGCATGATGACAAAGTGTGTCTACTTGATGGCAGAGGATAGGACGTCACTTAGTGTACACACTGTAGCATCTCTGACATCAGCCACAGGTTCCTGGAGAAACCTTTTGAGGCCAGAGTTTCAGTTTACACCTCACCGCTGTCGTTATAAGAGCCTTAAAATCTTAATTTGGGCAATGTAGCAATCACCATGACTGAATGTAACAGACTGAAGCATCTGTCAATCACGAAAATGCCACAAGTACACATGTATTTGAGACTGTTTCTTCTTGATACAATTTATTTAAAAAAAAAAACAAAACTTAAATCATAACCCAAGTAACTCCTGTTGAGCACTGAGTGACCATCAGAGGAACTGAGATCATCATTTAGCTATGGTTGTTGATGCTTGTGGTCAGACAGGTAGGGTCCAACCACCACTAAAGCCAAAGCAATGCCAGAGATGTGTACTGAATAGAACTTGGAAAAGATTGTTAGCCACAGGGATGCTTTGACAAACTACACTGGTAGCTATTAGTTTTCTATATTTTGTTTTATTCCGTCCCATTCACTACTTGGTGCATATTGCAGCAGATAATTGGTTGCATTCAAGTTTTTGTATTATTGTGTGCAAGTTGGACTCAACCCGTATCCACAGGACTGGACACTGTCTCTGCTGTCTTCAGCCGGTCTGCTCTTCAGTGTGGGAACATGAAGTTTTATTTTATGGGGAAAAAACATTGGAAGGCAAAGTTTGAAATTGTTAGACAGTTGTGTGACTCAACAGTCTCTTTCTAGCATTTCTCTTAAGTGCACTATGTCCCTGTGTGACTGTTTTTAGTCTAGAGGGCAGCATTACTTGATTTTCTCTATTGAGCCAAATCATGCAATTGCAACGACAAAACGTTTAACTACAACATGATCTTACTTGTATTTCCTTTCCCCCTGAACCTACAAACTTGCTGCCACACTATAAAGTAGATACTTTCTAAAAATAACTGGGGATGAAGAAACTTGCCCCAATTCCTACTTGGAAATCTTTAATTCACATTTGCTCCCAGAAAGTAGTCATTTCCGACTGTCCAGTAAATGACAAACAGCATTAGGTATGTCTCGCCTCTCCGTCCTGTCCTGTCTCTGTTGTCCCTCAGCCCCTCCCAGTGTCCCTGACCCGTCCCCATTTGTCTTTATTCCCCGCTGTTTGAGGGCGAGCAGCAAGTGGACAGATGTTGTCGGCCATAAGTGTGATCAGCAGCGGTGAAGGGAGGGATTTAGTTGGTGTTAAGTCCATGCCAGCGTTTCCATCTAAAAAAAGCAGTCGACTAATGTGTCGGTGTCATGCAACAACAGTTTGTGTTGATTTCGCCTGGTTTTCAACTGGTCATTTACTCTGATTGTCTTGCTCTTAGTCTCTTGTGTGTTGTTTGTTTCTCATGTTAAAGATGAGATAACGGTTTTGTCTCCACGTCTAAATTTACTGCTAACGTGCATAATGTATATAGCGCAGAGATTAAGATAAGATTGAATAGTGAATGTGGATGTTGTGGCACGCTGATCAACACAAGCACAAACTTCATCTGCACTCTAAGCAGATTTGATGCACTTGGGTATAGTTCAGTACCGAAGAGAAGCTCCAAATCCATCCATCGTCATGTGTTCCATCACCAGAAAGATTTTACTGCAAAGTCTTTGCACAAGTATAAGCTCTTATTGTTTTCTGATGCAGTCCTTCTTCTATCTTTGTGCTGGGAAGCTGTAATCACATTTCTACTGATAATTTACAGTAAAACCATCTAGAGTTTACTGTCTTATTGTGCAGTCGAGGGATTATTGGGGCTCTGAGCAGATTGAACAGTGTGACCTAGTATACTTGCATTGCTCAGAGCTCAGACAGATTGCTAGTGTATCTTAGAAAAGACGAACTTACTGAAAAAAAGAGTAAAAGAATAGTTATGGGTTTTGCACAAATCACTCAACTAGCTTTTGGGAACTCAGTAGGTGGATGAGTGATTGGGTGAATGGTCTGATAGTTGCAGGGAGGCTGAGCATGTGTCTGATCGCCTGAGAGCATAGGAGTGAACGCAAAGCAGCTTTGACTATGATGTCCTGTCATCTGACACTGACGGAGAAAGTATATAGTACGTGACCCAGACATTTGACACAGTTTCTAAAATAGAGGCTCACATGTCTGAGGGCGTCACAGGAACATATAGATCCAGAGAAAGAAGAGGTACTACAGAAAATTATCTTTGTTTAGACTTTACAATCAAATTATTAGAAATATTTAGGGATGCACCACTTGTGAAATTCTGGGCCGATACCAGTGGATTTTTTTGTTGTTGTTGTTTATTTTGTCTTTCTTGTTTCTCATTCTCCCTTTTGTGCAAGGGAAAAATATATTTTTTATTTAAAAAACATAACTGTTTTAAAGTCAGTCAGTCCTTCATTACACTACCTTTGAATGAGCATAAATTCAAGCATACACAGGTATGAATCAACCTTAATATAACCGTCTCTTACATGAAAAAGGTTAAACAAAATAAGCTTTAAAAGCCTTTACTCTTCATACTTCCCTCCCTGTTTTATATTGTTGTTACAACATCTCCCTTTTTTTCTTAAAACAGCTGTATAGTTCAAGTTTCTCTCCAAAAACTACATTTCAAATAGGAACAGTTTAGTCAAACAAACCTGTATTTCCATTTGCAGTGTTATATTTGGCGGTATGGCTCTGTACTGGGGCCCCTCTGCCTTTCCTCGGGCCTATGCAGAAAGCCTAAGGCAGAGAGAGCACACCTCTCTGCCCTTTCGCGTGCCTACATAAAAAGCCACTGGGAACAGAACAGAGCAAACATCAATGACAAACAGAAATGACATTGATAAGTCAGACAACATGAAAAGGAGGAGTTGGGGTGGAGGCGGGTTGCAAAGTAGCTTGCAGTGGAAGCAGCAACAGTAGGCAGGCCAGAGCAGTTTCGATTACATTTGAACACATTGTGAGAGCATTCTAATTTACGTATTACCCAATTCTCATTTTTACCGAAGAGAGCTTGAATGCATCATAATGTATCAATGCAGCCTCTGTCAACAGCTGCTAACAGCTAACGCTAACTAGCGCTCCTCCTGCCGACGGATTTTTTGTTCACAATAAAGTATTATCAAAGAAACAATAGGGTGCGTCCACTGATATGTCAGTGGTGAGTTTACCACATCCTTTCGTTCTGAAGTCGTCCTGAGGAGATCTCTGTTCATCCTAAACACGTTTTCTGTATTTCCCAGATGACGGCCCTGCTTTTCAGCCTGAGCGGAATTGATGTGACCCAACAGACAAACATCAGCTTCTGCCATCGGCGAATGCCATCATAGTTGCTGATAGGTTGATGGTAATCAGCAAGGCAAGTATTTGCCTAATACCGAATTGGTGCATTCCTAGAAAAGTTGCAGTGTGGGAGTCAGTGGTTTTGGTGCTCGGCATGTACCAAGGACTAAAAGTCAGGATATGTCGGCCTGTGGTGTTTTGATTTTGACCAGTGTTT